ATCTCGGATGAAGTGCGGAAGTGTGTGGCCCCTTGCGAAGCTTGAGGCAGTCCAGTTCCGATCCTCAAACAGTTTACGTTCAATATCGCAGCCGTAACAATAAGCAATGGTATCCCCCTTAACCCGCAACCCCAGGCCCTTAACATTCCAAAGATGGAGCCTGAAAAACAAGAGCAAGGAATTGGGATCTATAAGGGATCCTCTGTCATGTTTCTTCCGACTCCTACATTTTACTGCATCATCTAAACCCTGTTCAGCCCCAAATGCAAAGGCCTTGGTCATTACCTACACTATTTTGGGGGTTCCTGGTTATAATTACAATATAATTTACCCCAGAACCCTGTTCTAATTCTTAAACTCTCTACACTGTAGAACCCTTGTAGTAGCCGCTGTAGTTACCCTTCAAAGGAACCCTCAAAACCGGAAACCTAAGCTCCAAAGACCTAAACCCCCCTATCTTCCGACATCATCTGACCCGAAATTCTCGGAGCTACCAGCTGATAGAATCTGAGGTGCTTAGGACCCTGGGCCCACAAGCTTTTTGTTTGTTTTGTCTTGGTTTTTTTTTGTGGGTTTAGAGGGCTGAGCCGGTTCAGTGCAGAGCTTAAGGCAGGTTTCTAGACCAGAGAAGGTTCCAGGTCAACACTAGACGGCTAGCCTCGTCATTGTGGTAAGTCAAAAGAAACCCCCTTAACCCTAAAGCCTAGATAGGCTAGGGGGGGGGCCTTAACAGTTGGAATACGGCTTTGTGGTACACTGGGCAATGCATAGATATACATGTGTAGATAGACATATATATATATATATATATATATATATATATATAATATACACACGTATGCATGTAAACCATATCAGGTACTATCAGGTGATATTTTCCAATTTTTCCGACCCCGAAACTATACAGATCCTCACATACGAACCCTTGCATTTTGGAGCCTGATCATACAGGAATTCAGGCTTAAGAGCTTGGGGATTGAGGCTTTGGGGCAGAAGGGTGTAAGGCTTCTGTTCACATTTCATACATGGGCAAAGCAACCCTGTGGAAAACAAGCAAAATCAGCACCAACTTAGATACTATCGGTTCCTGAGTAGCCCCTGTATAATAAGGGTACCCTTTTTCAAACTACTCGGTCTTAATAAGGCGTATGTAACATCAGGAGGGCAAAAGGGTACTACTCATGCACCAAGGTTCGTTCTTGAGGTCCAGCCTAGCTCCAGCCGCAATCAAGGCTGCTGCTCCCTCGTACTGCACGGTGAGCCTCGCTTGAATAGAAACTCGCTAAACCCTAAACCCCCCCAAAAATAGAAACCATCGGGGTACGGGAATCTTCGTTGGAGGCTTATGATGTGAAGCAAACCGCGTAGTTGGGGCACTGTGGGGCTTGCGGTTGCGAACCTTGGGCGTGGGTTTGATAGGCAAAATTCGAAACTTCCTGCTGCCAGTGTGGGAAGTAGCATAGCGGCCATCAGCGGCGTGATGCCGCCCCAATGATGGCAAAGCTTCGACATCGCCGTGGGACGGCCGAATCTGTGCTGCAGGGCCTTCAAAGCGACCTCAGCACCAAACCCTCGACTATAAAGGCCTAAACATACTTCTGAGATGCCCTGTAAGCCTTTTGAATTTCTTTTACTATGATGGTTCTCTACAAAATAGTAAGGGAAAAGAAGGATCCCAAAGGACAACCCATTCTTTATCAAGCCAGGTTAACAGCCCTTCTACAAGTGTTATAGCAAGCCTAGTTAACTCTGTAACACTCTTATAAGAGCCTAAGTCATTACCAATACTATTTTTGCGGTTCATCATACTTACAGTATAAGATGCCACCAAGCCCTATTGAAACGTTTTGAGGCCCCTCTGTTATGGAACTCTACGAAAAATCCCTTCCAGAACCCGTTAAGAAAACCCTAAAACAATTTTTCGAAACCCCTAAATAACGGGCAGAGAGACGGCCTCCTTTAGGGTTTAGGGGCTCAGGGTTAAAGCTATCGCTCATGCATGAGGGCCCCTAGTGAATCAGGAAAGTTAGGGTTTAGGAGTTTAGCGGTTTGGGGTTTAGGATTAAAGTATTAGAGACTCTCAAGAGATACAGGTGTCCCTGAAGCATAATCTACACTCCAAGCCGGTCTTTCTGAGCCAGTGGCAAGCATGCGGACAGAGAAGATCTTTGGGCGCTTCATTTGATGGTTCACCTTAGCCCAGAGAGCCCAACAGCCCCTAATTAAGCAATATACCTTAAATCCTAAGAGAATTCATATTATGATTTAAGCTATATTCCATATTTAAGAGGTATTGGGCTCTCTGGGAGTTGCCCAGTGCAGATCTCGATAACTCGAACAGGGTGCCGGGGGAATACTTCAGCGTACTTAGACGGGGTTTAGGGTTTAGGGTCTAGGGTTTAAGATACAAGCCCCGGAAGAATAGAATTACTAGTTGTCTAGTCAACTAGTCTCCAGAAAGAACGCTTGCAAACAGTGATTGTACTCATAGTAAAATAGCGCAACAATGATGAGAACACTCAGCTTGTACTAATAAACATACTTAGCCGCTACCCTGGACCCTATAAAACCTTCCTTATGCCCTATGCTTTCCTTGTACAAGTCCTTACTTTGGCAGTACATTTGGGGTCCAGGTCAGTCGCCCCTAAATCCTCAACATACTTAGCCGGTAAGTCACGTCTGCATGGAGCTCAAGCAGCCGGTGAACCATCTCTGCAGAGCCCCCACCGCCCGCCATGGCAAGGAACAGCGCATGCGAGGTCCCGGGGACCTCTGCTGTCACAGTACTTGCAGGGTCATGGGACCTAGTAAGCTTAAAGGGCTCCTTCAAGGGTTCTACCAAGGGATATGTATGGTTTAGGGCTTGGTCAGGTTTAGGCTCCACTTGGAGGTGTCATGGGAAGTAGTAAGTTAGGTTATACATCCCTTATTTGGGCTGAAGTTAACGACCAAAGACTACGTCCCTAAACCCCAAACGACTCCTGAGGGGCCTAGTATCCTAGCCACCAACTCAGCTATACTAAACTACTACCAGTAAAATAGTAAGCTTTCGAGCTGAGGGTGTAGGGTTTAGAGTTTAGTGTTTTCTGTAATATATGGGCCCTACTAGCCAGAATAGGGTGTTCTTACTTGTCCAGTATCCAAGCGGAGCAACAGTACTACAGGTTAACCGTAGGGGTTATATAGGGGTTCTACAACACTCCGACTTTTACTACTAAGAAGGGCTTATGCGTAGCATTTCCATACTCGCAACCAAAACGCCACGCCCTGAGGATGCCTAGCTTGTACTCACCAAAAGCCCTTGGAAACCCTAGTTCATTCACCCGCAACGGCGCCCGGAAGAATTGGACTAGAGAAGGGGTGTTTGGTATGCTCATTGTACCAGAGGGCGTGGTTTCAAGTTCATAACAGTGATCCCTATTACCCTAAACCCCTAAACCCTAAAACCCTAAACCCTAAAACCCTAAACCCCTAAACCCTAAAACCCTAAACCCTGATTGTTACAAACAATCCTAAAGCAGCCTAGCGGCCTTCCCGCTCTCAGAAGCACTCCTGGCATGGAACACGAGCTCCTCAGGCACTTTGCAAGAGATGCTTGTGGTTCCGCTTGGTTTAGGGTTTAGGGTTCCTTTAGGGTTTAGGGTTTAGGCTTTAGGGTACATGGGCTTCGGGGTATTGACAAGTATCTAATCTAAGCTTCCAATGCCTCCTGAAGCCTGGAAAACACCCAAAACCCTTAAACCTCTACGCAGGGAAGCCTTACTTGGAGGGGCAGGGAACTTATTAAGTGGGTTATAAGTAGAGTTATAAGTACCCTAAATGGAGTTACCCGATTATAACCCTACTTTTAAACGACTGACTAAGTCCCCTGCCCCTCCCTGTGCAATCCAATAAATAGGCGTACTTCTTCACATGTCACTCAGCTCTAAGGAGACCCCAAAAATGACAAGGTCGTAAACTGGGATTTGAAGTAACCAGGGAGAAAGAAGTATAAACTTGTGATTCATAATGGCTCCTTTAAGAAAGAAGAAAAGTCTTAAAGTATGGTACTCCAAAGCCCCTAAACCCCATCCCCTAAGGTACTCGAAAGCCCCTAAGCCCCAACCCCTAAGGTACTCCAAAGCCCCTAAGCCCTAAACCCTAAGGTATTCAAAGCCCCTAAACCCTAAACCCTAAGGTACTCCAAAGCCCCTAAACCCCAACCCCTAAGGTACTCCAAAGCCCCTAAGCCCTAAACCCTAAGGTACTCCAAAGCCCCTAAACCCCAACCCCTAAGGTACTCCAAAGCCCCTAAGCCCCAACCCCTAAGGTACTCCAAAGCCCCTAAGCCCTAAACCCTAAGGTACTTCAAAGCCCCTAAACCCTAAACCCTCAGGTACTCCAAAGCCCCTAAACCCCAACCCCTAAGGTACTCCAAAGCCCCTAAGCCCTAAACCCTAAGGTACTCCAAAGCCCCTAAACCCCAACCCCTAAGGTACTCCAAAGCCCCTAAGCCCCAACCCCTAAGGTACTCCAAAGCCCCTAAGCCCTAAACCCTAAGGTACTTCAAAGCCCCTAAACCCTAAACCCTAAGGTACTCCAAAGCCCCTAAACCCCAACCCCTAAGGTACTCCAAAGCCCCCAAGCCCTAAACCCCAAAGGTACTTCAAAGCCCCTAAACCACAAACCCTAAGTACTCCAAAGCCCCTAAGCCCTAAACCCTAACATACTTCAAAGCCCCTAAACCACAAACCCTAAGTAAAGGGAACCACCGGAGAGACTGGGGTCACCTCCAAAGCTGCCATTGACCCATATCCGGCTGCAGTGGAGATCGCCGGAGTACCAAACCTTCGTTGAGGATTTAGGGTTAGGGGTTAGGGTTTATTGGCTTACTATTAACCTTGGCTGACTTCTGAAGCCCTCCTAAAAGTTAAACTTTTCGCCTCCGCATTATAGTTCACAAAATTAGAAGCCTATACATTAATGGTATAGTTCAGAAAGAACCCCGAAAAGTTCAACTCCTAAGAGCCAACCAGAAGAACGCCAAGAAACAGGTCCTGCGCAAGCGGGTCGCAGCGCGCGGAACAGAGCAGTCGGATGCCTGCGGCACCCCAAAAGACACAGACACACCCCTGAACCCAAACCCCGGGGACAACTCAAGTCTCCCTAAACAGCCCTCAAGCCCGAAACCTCAACCTCACAACACCAGACTGTTACACCCCTGACCCGTGCGTGAATCTCAAGCTCTACACCCGTCCTGCTGCGTTGTCGGAAACGGCCGCAAAATGAACCGAAGGGAGAACGCCCCCTTCGAGTTTCGCACGTGCCGCAATCAGGAGACGAGCTGCATCTTTGTGCTTGAATAACCTGAGATGAAATTCTGGTTATAAAGAACACTGAACCTTACAGTTTTAGCCTCACTAAACTCTTATCCAACCACAAGAGCCACGAAGCACCCTTTGCAACATTATGGACCGTTGACGAACGGATATATTGCACTGCATTTATTAGGCCAACATCCGTAGGCTTCAAAGCTCCAGGGGCATGGAAAGGTCCAGCGCCGATGTCCACGGCGGACATCCCAACTTCGGCTGGTCACGGGTTGTCCTGCGGATTCATGCAGCAGTGCGCTAGAAAAACAGTTTTTTGGCTTAATGTGGATCTGTGCAATGTCTTGGTAGGGTGGTTAATTGCTTTCGTAGGGCTTGGTACTGACATTTTGCTTACCATAAACACATGCGACAAATACTACAACCTGTAAATGCCTGGTCATGCTCCGAAGGGTCATAACACCTGATAGCGACCAGCGCTTCTCAATTCGTGCTACGACAATCTAAAGATCTCCTTAGAGGCCTAAGAAGTCCTTACAGAACTCTGGAAAACACATGGGTGGTTGTCAAAATTGTGGTCCCTTCTTGGGTCCCTAATATAATACGGCACCTAATATTTAGGGTACCCCAAAAAAGGACCATAATTTTGACAACCGACCATCTGGTTCTAAAGAAGTTAGACTTCAGGATTTAGGAGCAAATTTGAGTAGGGTTGCTTTAAAGGTTCTTTTTAAAGGGGTCTATAAGGAATACTATAAGGAATTACTACCCACATGTCTTCTGGATCCCGCGCTTGTAGGGTCGTTGTGGGTGGATTTCGTGACCCCTTAACTTGCAGGTTAAGTTTCCAAGCAGCAGGGTTTTAGGGTTAGGGGTCTGGGGGTTTAGGGTTTAGGGGCTTAGGGTTGTCCGGCGTATAACCCATCTATACGACTTTACGCAGTCAGTCCCCCGACCTTTCAAGCAAAAGCCCTGGCGAGGGTCCTTTTGCTAGGATCGGCATTGAATTGCAGCAAGTTCTCGATGAGCTCTGTGTCTCCGCGAAGTGCTGCATAATGCAAGGGCGACCACCTGGATTACTTAGAGGGCTTGGGGATTTAGGGGTTAGGGTGTAGGCTTAGGGCAGGACTATGAAGTGGGTTTGTTGTTTCGCTATAAGGCTTGACAGGATTGTATTTTGGTAATGACACGGTCCTTATCATTTCGAACAGAGCTTTGGGGCATACTATTTATAGCTCACTGGACCAACACCCAAGGGAATGAAAGTTGAAAAGCTGGGTATACAGCCAATAAGACAGTCCAACCCGACACCCTAAACCCGAAGCCCGAAACCCTTAATCCGAAGTCCGCACCCCTAAATCCTATTACAGCAGTGCCAGAGCTAGAGAGCGGAATCTATTTCTGGGCGACTGAAACGTCAATTTATGGCAGAGCTTGCGTATGGGTTCAGGGCTAAAGAGCAGAGGGGCTTACACCTGGGCCCTTCACCGTAAGAGTTTTTCAGGCTTTTGTGGCTTGTGGTCTGATGTTGTGGTCTGGTGGGGATAGGGTGGTCTGGGCTCCGAGTTGAACCGGCTCTCCTGTTTGTTAGGTTTCGCGATGTCTAGAGTCTTGTTGTTCAGGGCGAAGGGTTCAAGATTGAGAGTTCGGGCAAGTTGTGTCTGTGCCTAATGCAAGAGGCCACAGAGCACAATCAACAACACCACGCCCTACACTTGAAATTTTCTAACCCTGAACCCTAAACCCTGAACTTGAAATCCCGAAAACTCTAAGCCCTTGATATAGAAGCCTCAGAAATTACCAATACTATGCCTTAGTATAATATACCCCGGAACTCCTTAAGGTTCCCTATTATCCTTATAGTATACGTCATATACCCCGAAACTCTATTCTACCTATTAAGGCCCCCATACTGTTGATGATGTAAATCCTGCATTCCCTTAAGGACCCTAAGCTATGGGAATTATGGTATATTCCCTTATTATGGGTAATGCAGGAAATATATCATCAACCGTATCAACCTTAAACCCCGAACCCTGAGACGACCTGTCTTCTACGAAGCTGGTGGAAGTTACTCAAAGGGGAAAAGGAGGGACCCTTAATGGGGACTCCTACCCTATAATGGGCTATAGAATGGGTAAATAATAGTTATATTAAGGGTATATACCTAGGGGCGTTTATTAAGGGTGCCTCCTTTTACCCTTGGAGTTACGCTCTCCTCCTGGGTTTTGGGGTCTGCGGCTCTAGGGCTCAGGGCAAGGCAATCAGCTGAGCCGCTTGCTTCCCGCAGGGCTTCTACTTAAAGGATCATGGGACTTAGTAAGTAAGGTTTTAAGTAGGTTATAATTAGGATAACCCCACTTAGGGGACTTATGACCCCAATTATAACTTATAACCTACTTACTAAGTCCCATGATCCTTTAAGTATATAACCCAAACAGAAGGGATGAGCATCCTAGCCCCAAAAACGTCAGCCTTTTGAAGTAGGACAATAAAGAAAGGTAAACGTTGTCTAACCAGCGCCTCAGCAAAAGAGTAAAGGAGCTTCTTTGTCATCTGCAACCTAGCTCCTGAGCAGCCCCTTAGGAAAGGGGTTCCTTCCCATCGACCACTTCCAAAAGCCAACCCCAAACACCACAATAACCAACACGGGCAATATAGGGGGCCTCAATAATGACCTATACAATTTTGGGGGTTTCTTATTGCATTTATAGGTTAACATACCCGGAAACCCTGTTCTAAGTATCAGGGCCGCGACATTACTGCAGTTCTAGGGAGGAGGCTTCTATCACAAGCTGGTGGCCTCGGTGTTCACGTGTGGGGTTCGGAGTCTGGTCATCCACCACAGAGCCACCACCGAGTTACCGGAATATCCCTGACGAGTAGCTCAAAATACGGTTTAGGGTTACTTAGTTACCGGAATATCCCTTAGCAGCACTCTTTAGCTGCAAGAAAAGACTCATCACTTTTGGGCTCTCGCAAGCTTATTTGCTTCAGAAGGCACCCGGAACTGTCGATGTCGCGGATGCTTGTAAAGCCGTTCTGGTAGAAGAACTCCTGGTGTTCTGAGGTAAGGTTCACATCACTCAAAGGATCATGGGCATTAGTAGCTCGAGTTCTTATTCGGGTTGCTTTTATAATTCCTTATATTATAGGGCCCATGTAGGGTACTTGTAACCTTACTCACTAAGTCCCATGAACCTCCAAGTATTACGGTCGAGTAGGGTATAGGGTTCAGGTCGTTGAAACAGGTGTTCAACTGTGTCGTAGGATTTGCAGGAGTTGATTCTGAGAACTCTTGCGGGAACGGGGGGGTGGCTTTTGCCGGGAAGATCTATGCAAGTGTAGTGCACAAGAGCCCCGCGCCATACACCCCAACAGCCAAACAACACGTGGGTAGTTGTCAAAATAAGGGTCCCTTTTTGGGTCCTTATTCTAATACGGCACCTAATATTTAGGGTACCCAGAAAGGGACCACAATTTTGACCACCCACATTGCTAAGGCTTGCACAAAGCAGTCCAGGCCATCAACAGCCCAACGTGCGAATCGCCAGCACTCAAATCTTCAAACGGCATTCATTCAGGAACAGGGGGAGCCTTCATGACCAGAGCCGATTTGGGGTTACAATGTTAGAGAAGGGTTTTGAGGGCATACTCCCAATACTTCTAACACCCCCAAAACTACTCTTCCTTGTACGGCACCGCCCGGCAAAGTCATATACACAAAACTTGAAGCACCCAATGTAAACAACAATCCACCCTTGAAGCTCTATCTTCCTCCCCCGAGAGAAACCAGCCTAATGTAGGAACCTGATTAAGAAACCCTGGCCTCATAACACCAAAATAGTCGGATTCATATAAGGAACCCTAACAAATGCCCAGGGTTTCTTCATCAGGCTCCTACATCACCCCCCCAAAAAAAACCCTTATAGTACCCGTTAAAGCAACCCTTTGTAGAACCCTCATAAAGGCCCAAGGCTTCTTAATCAGGTTCCTACATTACCGTAAGAGGATGCTGCATCTCAAACTCTAAACGATAGAACCCCAGACCCAGAATACCAAAACCCTCAACCGTAAGCCCTGAAAGTCTAAGATCCAACGGTTTAGGGTTTACCCTCAACAGCCCCAAGCCCCCAACTCAGAGCCCTAAACCCCAAACCATGCCCTAAACTGTCAAAGCCCCAGGCCCTAACCAACAACACAAATAAACCGGAGCCCAAGCTCTGCTACGCTGGCACAGCCGTGGCTGTTTAGCTCGAAGCCAGGAACGAAGTTGCCTTAACTTGGTTGCTGAGCTCATAACATAGGGGCCTTAGTAATCAGAATAGGGTTTTGGGGCCCGTTATACCAAGATTACAATAAGGAGCCCCCAAAATAGTAGTGGTAATTATTTCGGCGACAATAGTAAGCCCCCCCAAAAGGGCACACTTTCCGTTTGATGAGGGGTAATTTAATACTCTGCCAGGAAGTGTTATGTGTACCCACTCAGCTACCAAGCTAGAGGGAGGCTGAGTTTCCCGACCCAAAAGAGATTAACGTCGGGGGTCGAGGGTTTTGGGGTTTAGGGAGGTTTAGGGTTATATGGAAGGGCTATAAGAACCACGAAACGGTTCTGATGAACAACCGAAAAAAAAGGTTAAAGGATGTCAAAAGCTGTGTTGTCAGCCCCACTCCAAGCTGCAGACAGGTTCGACGCTCAAACGCCGGAAGTAGACGCCCTGCAGGTTCCTAAGCTGGAGGGCAACAAACACGTGTCAAAGGGCGTCCGCTCGTGAAGGGTCTGGGGCTTGGGGTTTAGGTGTTTTTGTGGCGTTCGCGGGTTGGGGTCTTGGGTTTACGGTTTAAGGGTTCTGAAGTGTCTCCGCTTGAACGCAATCAAGGGGTTCTTCTCAGGTGTCAAGCGTAATCAGAAGAGGGAGCCCACTAGTTAGGGTCAGGGTTGAGGGTTTAGTTGGAGGTGCCAGGGGACTTAGTAAGTCGTATATAAGTAGGGCTTATAATTGGGTAACTCCATGTAGGGTACTTATAACTCTACTTATAACCTGCTTACTAAGTTCCCTGGTCCGCCAAGAAGGGTTGCGTAGAGCGGCAGGTTCGGCGGAATACTCAAACACTTCGGAGTAGTACCACCTGGACTCCTAGGATCCTAAACTTTTTCAGGGCTCCTTATTATGAATCCTTTGTGTAAGTCCATTTGTGAACTCTTTCTATAAGTCCATAAAAAGGGTAGGTTATTTGGGGTTAAGGTACTGATTATTCCAGCCCCAAAAAACTCTAGGACGCCCAGTAACCTAGGAACAAAAAGGACTCATTTTTGGGTCTTGGGTAGCTTCATAAGGAACCTGGGACTACCTACTTGGAGGATCATGTTAGTAAGTAAGGTTATAAGTACCTTAATTGGGGTTAGAAGGAATTAAAAGTATAGTTACCTTACTTATAACGCCAGTTACTAAGTCCCATGATCCTTTAAGTACTGGGAGACCTAGTACTACACTAAACTAAACCCTCAATGTAGGGGCATTAAAAGCTAGAATAGGGTTCTGGGCTCCATTATACTGTAGTTATGATAAGGAACCCCCAAAATTTTAAAATAGTATAGGTAATTATTTAGGCCCCTAAACTAAACCCCTATCGTACCCCTTATAGTAATCCTTTTTGACCTCTTTTAAACGGAACCCTCAAAGGAACCCTATTCTAATTATTTAGGCCCCAATTTATAGCAACAGTGCATTGGCAATCCCAGGCTCAGGTGCCGACGATATGCAGCGAAATCTCCGCTTTTGAGACAGAGCAGCAACTTCTTCATCACCGCTTGTTTCAAAACCTGGTTTGTGATTCATGAGGTTTGAGGTCTAGGGTTTAGGGTTAGTTTAGTGCTTAGGGTTTCGTTTCAAGCCTGGTTTGTGATTCATGAGGTTTAGGGTTTAGGGTTCGTTTAGGGTTTAAGGTTTCGTTTCAAAACCTGGTTTGTGACTATAGTGCATGGGTTGGGGGCTCGGGACTGTTCACTGCTGACTAACCAAAAGGGGAAATGTCGAACTTGAGCTGCAACGTGGTTCCCACCGGAAGACTAGACCTGTAAGCAACAAAAGTAGAGCTTAATAAGGAAGCCAGTCGCGCCCTAGAGTTTGAAGGTTGGCTCGTGGTGAGCAGCGCAACGTCAATACGCTTAGAAACCCTGCTGACGCTTGAGATATTAGACCCTACACTACGGCCCAAACCCTTTTGAAAGCTTGGACCTTATACTAAGAACTCTAAACAAGGCCCAAAAGTGAACGTCCTGAGGTCCTGGCTACTAGGTTGGCCCTTTCAAGCCTCTGAAAAATATTCGTAAATAGGGTCCTACTATGCCCAATAAGGGAAAATAAGAAAATTGTCCCAAAGGCCTACCTAGGCTATGTCCCCAGCAGGAAGCAGGCCCGAACTTCTCACGGTCCTCGGGCTCCGTGAACTCGCCCTCGCCCGCCGAGCCGCCCATAAACCCCAGAACCGACCCGACGATTTCCAGGGAGGTCTCCTGGGCTCGGTTTTTTCTATACTGAACTTAGAACCCTAGCAACAATTAAAATTTTAGCTGTTTCTTAGTGTTTATAATAATTGATAATTAAAAGTTATTTCTAAGTACCCCTAAGTTTTTGGTGGTTTAATCAAAGGGCCAGAATAATCAGAATAGGGTTGTGGGGGTATATGATACTATACTTATAGTAAGGAACCTCCCCCCCAAAAAAAACGGATGTCTCCTGGGCTCCAGGAGGGGTCTAGGGGCTTTGCCTTTAGGGGTTCGGGCTTAGAGGCTTGAGGGTGCAGTGCTGGGGGGTCTGGAGCTTAGGGGTATTGGGATGTTCGGGATTTAGAAGCTAGACCCAAGAGTAACCTAGGAATAAAAAGGGTGCCCTTTTTGGGATAAAGGGGGTTATAAGGGGACCTAAACCCTTAAAAAGGGAATAAGGGCCTACTCTGGGTCCTAGGAAGAATAAGGGTTCAGGGGTTCAGGGGTTTAGGGCTTTGGGCTTTACGGTCTGGGGGTTCGGGGGCTTCAGGGGGTTTGGGCTTAGGTTTGGGGTTAGAGTTTAGCCCTAAACCCTAAACCCTACTTATACCAGGAGAAGGTATAACTGGGACGCCGAGTCTCGCTTCTGATCAGAACCCATGTGTCGTCGGTGGAAAGCTCCCGGACAGCTCTTTCCAGACGACACCTTTCTACCCCAATCCTAAACCCTAAACCCATAAACCTAAAACCTAAACCCATACACCTAAACCCTAAGCCCTAAACCCTAAACCCTAGCCAATGTCCAGCGACATCAGAGTTAAAGACTTAGACTTGCTACTGCTAGGCAGGAAGAAACGCTCAACCCCAAGGCACATAAGTTCAGCTGTTGGGTCCAGATACCTTGGGTACGGCCCCCACTCAGGAATAGTTGAATAGTATTCATAATATATATATATATATATATATATATTTTAGGACCTTAATTGTAGCCCAATTATAGACTCTTACTGTATGGGGGCAGTACCTCCAAGATTCCTCTCTACCTCTCAAGCCGCAATTTTCCTGCAACCCCTTCGGTGTGAACCGAGTTAAAGCCTTGAGAAATTCTCTAGAACTAGATTCCTGAGCAGCCCCTGTAGAATAAGAGTACCCTTTTTCCTACTGTTCGGTTTTGATAAGGACGAAAGGGTACGACTCAGGAACCTAGTAGATCCTAAACCCCTATAGATCCCTTATAGAACCCTTTGAAGGATCCCTTATACAACCCTTGAGGAAGCCTTTAAAGAGGGTACTACTCAGGGACCCCGAGAAGTGAACCAAGCCACCAGGAGCGCTGACCCCAACTGGCTGGCGTCAGCACCCTGGACTCATCCGGGCTGTCGATGACGGGGCAGAGAGCGAAAAAGAAGGAGCATCGGGTGATGTACCACGGAATGCTTTCCTTTGAATGCTCAGCGTTTGGGGCTGAGCGGTAAGGGTTTAAGGTTTGGGGAGGAGGTAGCCAAAACGAAAGTAAGCTGTAACATTCTCGTCTGCATTGGATGCCTTTACATATTGCTAAGGGCACGCGGGTCGAGACCAAGTAAGAAGTACTAGTGGGGCCTTAATAGTTCGAATAGGGTTTTGCGGTATATTATACCATACTTATAGGACTACATAAAGGATCACGGGACTTAGTCAGTAGGTTGTAATTGGGGTTATAAGTCCCCTAAGTGGGGTTCTCCAGATTCTAACCCACTTATAACCTTACTTACTACGTCCCATGATCCTTTAAGTAGGTAAATATTAAGACACCAGAACCGAGCTGCGATCGCCTTTGAGAGGTCGCTGTCTCCAGTCTTCTCATTGCAGCTCCGTTGCTCCAGCTGTGGGCAGGAGATGTAGTCATACCACAAGTATAGAGGCAGAGTCTTGAACCTCAGTGGTCCATCTCATCGGGCAAGATAGGCGACTCTTCTTGAATCTGGGGACGTAACAAAGACCCTAATTTAGAGAGCTACCCATCTTAAAGTCTTACTTCACACCAATCCAAATTCACACCATACATCCTAACACCCTAAACCTCGAAACCCCTAAACCCCTAAAGGCCCTAAAGCCAAGGAACGCTTGCAAAGGGAGGCGCCTGGCCGTGGGAACCGCTACCTCCGCAGTTGCGAGGGCTTTCTGGGTCTGGGGTTTGGGGTTGGGGCACTTTCAGGGTTTAGGGTTTAGGGGTTTAGGGGTTTTGGGGGCTTAGGGGATTGGGGGTTAGGTTGCGAGAGCTGAGGGGCTAAATACCCTAGCCCAAATACGATTAACTTTTGAAATTTGTGGTATGGCTATATGAACCTAAAAGGTTGAAGGTTCTATACTCAGCTACTAGGTCATAGGGAGGGTCTATAGGGTTGTGTAGGGTTCTGTATATAAGGCTGGCTTTATGGTTTATGGCTTTTGGAGGGTTCCGAAAAAGGTTTATAGCACATGAAGTAGGGTTTGTATTAATTAAGGTTTAGGGAACCTTTTCAGGTTTCCTCTGAGGGTTCGATAGGGGAAGTAATAGCCGTTTCCCCTTGCTCTGTAAACCCTAACCTTAGACCCCAGAATTCGGCCAAACCTGGATTATACGGGGACCCTAGCACGTGCAATGCCATTAATTCTTCCTCCCCCCCTCCTAATGTTACTCGACCTAGTTAGGCTTTTGGGCGCCAGCCACCTCGGTGCTTGGATCCAAGGGAATGAAGCCCACATCGCTCAAGAGATGTCGCACAGCACCTGAAACAGACTGAAGGTTCCAGCCGAAGCGCTTCTTCTACGGGTTCTGTACGGCTTCTAGGCGGGCTCTTCAGCTTTTTAACAATTCTAAATGGTTTTCCAAAGAGTTATGAAGGTCTTTCACGATTTTACAAGGGTTCTGCAGAAGTTGTATAGGGTTCTCTAGGCTTTCTTTGAAGTTTGGAAGTTGTCGTGTCTAAGAAATCCAAAACCCCGTGCACGCAGGCCTTCAACCCTTAACCCTCAAGTACCCCAAACCTTCCATAAATGTGTTGCCATCCTACTACCCCCGTAGAAAACAAATCAAGATCCTTTGATGTTTAAGGTGCATTTCTCAGTTAAGGTGGCTTGGAGTCTCCGGGCTACGCCCTCCATCCTTGACCTTGAGCCGCAAGCCCTAGCCCTAAAACCCTAAAACCCAAAGCCTCTCAACGCTGCAACATCTTGACGACAAGGCCTTCTATCCAGGCCTGAATAACTAATGCTAGTATTCCCTTCTAGTCCCTGCATCTTTCATTGCAATTCGAATAACCCCCCCTGTTGTAATCTTACAAGCACGCCGACATAAGTCTCCATCAAACCTAGTTCAGTCGCTCTACCCCTAGAAGTGGAGGGGCATACATCCCGGTAGCGCCCCACAGCCACCCTGTAAGACCCTAAACCCCTGAACCCTGGACCCCAAGGACCTACCTTGTTAGGGTTCCCTATCATGATTTCTTTATATGGGTAGTTGTCAAAATTGTGGTCCCTTTTTGGGTAGTGCTTAACATGGTAGGTTCTATGGGGAAGGTAAACCCTAAGGACCCTAAGCCGAAAACGCCCCCAAACCCTTAAACCCCGAAGACTCGAAGCCCTGTAACAGTAGAGCCTCAATGATTAGAATTGGGTTTTGGGGTATATCATACTATACCTATACTAAGGAACCACCAAAACCCTATTCTAATGATTAAGACCCCTACTTGAAGGCTCCTGGGACTTAGTAAGTAAGGTTATAAGTAGGTTATAATTAGGATAACCCCACTTAGGGGACCTATAACCCCAATTATAACTTATAACCTACTTACTAAGTCCCATGACCCTTTAAGTACAGTAGCAGTCGCCCCACCTTGTAAGACCCGCATCTGCTTGAACTGGGGGTCTGGGTGATGCCTGGGTTCCAAGGCGGCAGCCGTGTTCTGGCTGGCTGTGTTTTCAAGCATTTCGATAGGTCTTATGTGGTTTTATACGGGCTTATAGGGCTTTGTAGGGTTTGATAGGGTAAAGGTTACCTGGTTTGCTGCTGTAAATAGTAAAGAGCAAAAACAATCATTTTTTGTACTGCAGGTCCCAGACGCAAGGCAACCCACTGGTGGGAAACGAAAACCGCCTTGCCCATGCTGGCGTCAAAAACAACGATGTCTCCCTTCTCCTGCAAGGTAGGCAATTTGTCAAACAGTTTGGAGAGGATATACAATACAGGTACTTGTGGTGCATTAATAACTCGAATAGGGTCTGGCGGCGAACTATACTTGAATTACAGTTTTCGGAGCCCCGACGTGGTATTTGTAATTATTTAGGTCCCGATAGTAAGCTTTCGGGTCGAAGGCTTACGACTTTGTGGTCAACCTTAAGCCTTGAACGAGTGTCGAGCGAATCCGGGAGGGCACTAGAGATCCCGAGAAATACCTAGTTGCTGAGTTCATTGGCCCAAAAACGTGTACCCTTTCAGTTCTATAAGGGGTCATAATACCCCCAAAAATGCAAAGTCTGCCCACTCTAAGAATATGAGTCGTATCGTAAGGTCCCCCTACTAGGGAGTACCGAATTAACTGAACCACCCCGTTTGGGTGGAGAAAGGTGGTGCGCCTTTGCATTCTTGGCAGGTACTTAAAGGATCATGGGACTTAGTAAGTAAGGTTATAAGTAGGTTATAATTAGGGTAACCCCACTTAGGGGACTTATAACCCCAATTATAACCTACTTACTAAGTCCCATGATCCTCTAAGTGTTGACCTTCGTTCGACCTGTACAGGCCTTGAAACGCCGCAAGGTTTGGCTTGCTCGCTCGATCTCTTTATCTCTCCATCTCGCTGTCTCTGTCTCTGTGCGTCTCTGCCTCTCTATTTCTCTGTCTCTGTCTCTCTGTCTCTCTGTCTCTCTGTCTCTCGCTCTCTCTCTCTCTCTCTCTCTCTCAAGACAGTTCGCCTCTCCATAGCTGTACTTAAACGAAGTTTTGCATGAACACATGGATTTAGGACTTGTGCGTGTGCTACTAAGGGGCCCGCAGCTGCTTCTCCGTTTCCATGCCCCTGTGGACGAAGCGTGTGCCGCATGTACGTAAAATGCTTGATGCATGCATCCCGAGACTCTGGACAAGGCAGGAAGACTGCATGAAAAGTACGTCTACTGTTTCAACTGCCATGGATGGTCAACAGCGAGGACGGTGGCCGTGCTGATGTTGTTGAGCATGTTAGTGGCAGTTCTGGTGCTCATGATGGTGGCGACGATGTGCATGATCATGATGATGATGATTGTGACGACGACAACCATTCGCGGGATGACGACGGTTGCTGCATCGTGTGACCACAAAGAAGTCCGCCGCAAATACTGAGCCTGCAAGCCTAAATCATAGCTCCCTAAGCACTGCAAAGATGGCCTTGAGCACCTCATGAGGCTCGATCTTTGTCATCTGCAACAGCAGGTCTGAAGAAATCGTGTACATTGGAAAACGCATAGATTTGACCTGGGCCGCAACATACGCGTCTAGTATCTTGGGGGAACGAAAGGCTACGTTTGGGATTATAGATCCACAAAACAGATTAAAGGCTAACTGCTCTACTACTACGGCGAAGAGTTCGCGGCCTGTTCCCAGAGGCTCCAATATCCCTTCATTAAGGAAGAAACCTTAACATATATTAGGGGTCCTACTATAATTTAAGGTATATTCCTTGATTAAGGGATATACCTTAACTTATATGAGGGATCCTATGGTAATTTTAAGGTATATTCCTCCTTCTAACGAGCAACAAACCCTAAACAATACATGGTGCTCAACCCCGAAATTCTCATCCTTTATCACACATCCTAACTCCCACGACCATGATGGCTGGCAGACAGCAGCTGAGCCCACAAGTCCCGACGAACCCCACTACTGCTACTGCTGCTAACGCCACCACTACTCGCCACTGTTGCAACCCTCTTTTCTTAGACCCCGACGGTACTCATAGAACCTCTTTTCTTGACTTAACCCTTAAACACTCCATGACCTAATATTGCAACCCCTCTTTTCTTTCAACTTGAACCCTTGCGCCCTAAACCCCTCATGCCCTATACCCCGTCATGACCGAATATAAGGGAGTTTCCGAACATTAGTAGTACCTCATCTTGGGGTCCTTATAATAAGGACCCTACTACTTAGGGTACTATATTAGGGTCCCCTATTTTCGGAAACTCCCATAACCTCGAGTCGAATCATCAGGACAAAGCTTCGCCGAGGCAGTCATCCTCTTCTGCAAGCGACCGTGCATGCAATTCCTGGGGTTTTGGAGTCTGGACCCAAGAGTAACCTAGGAAAACAAGGGTGCCCTTTTTGGTTTATAAAGGGGCTTATAAGCGAACTAAAAGCTGGAATAAGGGCCTACTCCAGACCCTACTTAAAGGCTCATGGGACTTAGTAAGTAAGGTTATAAGTGGGTTATAATTAGGATAACCCCACTTAGGGGACTTATAACCCCAGTTATAACCTACTTACTAAGTCCCATGATCCTTCAAGTAGTAGCCAAGGCTTCATTCTGGGGATTTAGGGCTTAGTGTATCAAGGCTTTTCGTGTTTAGTGTTGTACCTAAGTAGGACTTTAAGGTCCAGGCAGGGAGGACCGCAGGGTTTAGGCTTGTAGGATGCTTTCGGTTTAGGGCGTAGGTCCCAGGCGCACTGGATTGCATGGTTTGGGATTTATGCATCTGGGATTATGGGGGGTTTCGGGCTATGGGCTTCTGGGTTACGATTGTCAGGGCTGAAATATTCGAAAATGCTGGGGCTCCACGGCAAACACCACGTTCCAACTTTCAAGCTACAGTGGTTCATGTGCGGAAAGAAGCTCTAGAGCCCCAGGCCTGAATCAGACTCCGTAACCATGAGGGTGCCCTTATTCATTCGGGTGGTTGTCAAAATTATGGTCCCTTTTTGGGTACCCTAAATATTAGGCGCCGTATTATAATACGGATCCAAAAAAGGACCCTACTTTTGACAACTACTCATTCAGTACTTGGACGGAAACACCAACACGGAACGGGAAGACGGGTACTACCGTAAAATCCTGCACCATCAACACAGCTACGCAAGTACGGCAGTGGCCCCAAACATCGGAACAGACCGTCGGGGTATATTACAACGTAGCTATAGAAATGAGGACGAAGAATTATTGAGGCTTCGATATTAAAGCCTCAGAAGCCCTTAGAAGAAAGAACCCATACTATAGGGGCCAAAATTAACAATGACCAACGGGGTTCCATATTATGGTTCTAGTATCATGGGCCCCAAACCCCTATTCGAATTACTAAGGCCCCAGTATTATAGAATCCTACTATAGACCCCTTTAAGGAACCCGTATATTATAGAACTCTACTTTAGACCACTTTAAGGAACCCTTTAAAGGAACCGGCCCTATTCACCAGGCCAAGCTCCAAGGGAGTTGGGCGGTGGCCGGATGAGCAGCAGGCCATTGCGGCCCGAAACCCCTAACTTAGTCTAGGATACCCAGTAACCTTAGAATAAAAAGGCCTCTCTTTTGGTATTGGGTAACTTTATAAAGAACCTAGGACTACAAAAAGGGAATAAGGGTACTACTGGGCATCCTAGTAGTTGCTGAAACTCTTAAGGTTCCATATTATCCTTATAGTATACGTAATATACCCCGAAACTCTAATTCTAATCATTAAGGCCCCCCCCCCATATCAACCTTAAAAGCTTAGTTGCTGAGTTCATAAGCCCCCAAGGAGTGTACACTTTCAGGTTTATAGTGGGTAGCATTATCCCAAAAAGTGTAAAGTGTATCCATCCACTCGGCTACTTAGTTAACCCTAAAGTCCTAAACCACCGACAAAAGCATGCAAATCCCCTGGAAGCCCTGCAGTACCCATGCCAACCCCACCTTAAACCCTAAATGCTAAAAGAGAGGGACTAACACAAGCACTGAAATTTGCAGGACCCGGTAAAAAGCCTAGCTACTCGCCAAATGTTGATGCTCCTGCGTGCCCTCTTGCAAAACACCCGGCAGAAACCACAAAATCCTTACTCCAACCTATAATGCAACCGTTAAGGGATCCCTTAAAGGGACCCCTGTTCAACCCGCTATAGGCTAGGTCCTCTGGTCCTTTAAATAGGCAGCCCCTCCTTCGAGCGGGGGTGCGCCTGAGCCAAACCATCATGCGTAATGCAGGGGCCTAAAAAATTAGAATAGGGTCTTGAGCTCCTCTCTAGCATAATTTCAGCCCTAAGAAATCAAAGCAGTCGGCGTTCACGGGCGACTGAGACTGTCGCCTTGCATGTGCGAAAAAAAGAAACAGTATTGCCAAATACTCAAGCCTTTCTCGTACACCGAGGCGTCGGCGGAATGGACGAACACCGACACGTCTGCAGTCTGAAAATAACCCTTGAGTCATGGTACGGTTGATGGTATAAAATCCTGCATGACCCATTATAAGGAATATACCATAATTCCCATAGTTTCGGGTCCTTAAGGTAACGCAGGAGAAAGATCATCAACCGTAGGACCCTCAAACCCTTAACCCTGGAACCCCAAGACCTGCTAAAGCTAGCATATGTACGACAAAAGAAGTGATAGGTTCCCGACTCAGCTACGAAGAAGCCCACCACCTCTAATGCAAAGCTTCTATCCCCACAGAGGTTGAAGCCTATTAAAGTGGAAGATTGGTGCAAGAGTGCAAGATACGATCCTTGACAATTATTTTTGTGAGCGGCACATTGTAGGGGCCCTAAACTGAGAAACCAGCGGAGAACCGTGAACCCCATAATTGCAGACCCTGAACTCAACACGGGAAGCATCAGGCAAAAGAGGGATCTATCCCCCGAGCCTCCAAAACACTTCAACCAAGAAATGCACCGTAAAGCATATCAATGACTCCCGCTATGATGTAAGGTGTATTCCGTCCAACAATCGGGAATTATGAAAGCCGAATTAAGCCCTTGCGAACCGCAAAAGACACCTTGCTACCCAAGCTACATGTCTACGCTGGCCCAAGAAAAGCTTTTGAAGCATCGTCGTAGATACTTGGAGGGGCAGAGGACTTAGTAAGTTACTAGGTCCCTAAACCCTAAACCCCATATATCCCTTTAAGGACCCTAGGAACCCTATAGATTCCTTTAAGGATCCCTGTAAGAACCCTTACTAAGTCCCCTGCCCCTCCAAGTAGGACCTTCTTGGGCCGAGCAAGGGAGAATCTATGAACATATAGCACGTCTCAAAGGCCTACCTACTTAAAGGATCGTGGGACTTAGCAACTGGGCTTATAAATAAGGTAACTATACTTATAACCACTTATGACCCCAATTAAGGTACTTATAACCTTACTTACTCAGTCCCATGATCCTCCAAGTAGATTCAAGCCCTACTCTCCCTTACAACTTAAGCACAAAAGAAAGCAGCCGACCGCCGTACAAGATGCCAGAATCCAGCACAGGAAATCCCTACTTGGAGGATCATGAGACTTAGTAAGTCAGGTCATAAGGACCCCAATCGTGGTCATAAGGACCCCAATCGTGGTCTTAAGTAGCTATAGGTATAGTTATCACCTAATTGCTAAGTCCCATGAATCTAGAAGTAATCAACTGCCCAAGAGCCTGCTCCCACAAGTAAGCGATTACCCAAGCGCCTTGTCGTATGCTAAGGAACCATGAGGAATAGCATTACATGCTATAAACCCTAAACCGTTATAGTTCTGCCTGGCCAATTTGGGGGTTTGCGATGTACCTGTTGCTGAGAAGTCCCAGCCTTCGTCAGCTCGGCAACAGAAGCGGCGGCGAGGCTTTTTTTGCATATATACATGTATGTATGTATGTATATACGTATGTATGAATATGTATGTATATATATATGTATATATGTATAGAGAAAACTAGAATCAGATGAAGGAGCCCTAAGGAATTGAACATGTAGTGTTAGGGCTTCGGGTTTAGGGGTACTGTATTTCGTGCGGGTTTTGACTTCAGGGTGGAGGATGTGCATGTTTCGTTTGGTAGATTCAGTGAGTATAGGGTTTAGGATCCAGGGTATATATCTACAACTCATGAATGCGGCTAGGCTATGCTCGTTGCTGTTGATTAGTCTTAGCTGGCACTGTTGCTCTGACTACCATTACCAGCAGAGGCGTTCCGATGATAAATTGTTCTTGTCTTCTTATGGCTTTGTGCAATCTTGTGAAAGGATAGAGAAAACCCGGGCGTAGGTCTTTCGGGTTTTACGGGTAATTGCGACGGTATGGTGGCTGTGATGAGCAGGATCCTGCTTCTTTGGGTTTTGATCCAGTAGCACGTTCTCCTAGTGGCAAACGTTCCTATACCCCAGCAGCAACAACCATGATTTGGCCAAATTGCTGCCCTCCTAGCCCCCCCCCTTATAACAAAGTCAAAGTTGCCCAAGCAAATTAGAGGTCGGCTGCTGAGTGGGTGGTGGGGTGCGGGCCCTATAGGAAACTCCAGAAAGTTGGAATATGGTTTCATGGTAGGATACCCTATCATTTACCATAGAAGGGTTAGGATAATCATATTCCAACTTTCTGGCTTTTACCTTAAAGTGAACTATGCTGAACCCTAAAGCTGGAACCCTGAACCTGTATACTAAACTGACTAGGCAAATTCCAAACCGTAATGCTGTAACCCTAAACCCTAGTATACGAAACTTACGAAACAAACCCTAGACGCTAAAGCTCTAACCCTAAATGCTGTTTACTACACTGACTTACCAAACAAACCGTAAACCCGCAAGCTTTAACCGTAAACCTTGAATTCTAAAGACAAGTTCAGTGCAGCCAGTCGGAGGATGGATCCTTTTCCGCACACGAGGCCCGCCTCTTCTGCGAGAACTCGCTGACAGTGCTTGGCTTTAGGGCTTAAGGCTTAGGGCCTTAGGATCGCGGGTTGAGTGGTTCTGAAGGGCTGCGTATTCGCTGTGTGTAATCGCTGCATATCCCAGCCCCCCAAAAAAGCGTAACGCTTTACATCATGGTAAGATTCCTTTGTGGTCCCAAGAGGTGATGAGGTTACCTACTCAGCTCGTGACGGTTTCTGATGGATTTACGGGATGGCTGGCCCTGGCCCTACCCCTTGAAACCGTACTTGGAGGATCATGGGGCTTAGTAAGCAAGTTTATAAGTACCTCAATTGGGGTTATAAGGAATTATAAGTATAGTTACGGCTATAATTTGGGTTATAAGTCCCTAAGTAGGGTTATCCTTATTACAACCTACTTACAACCGTACTTACTATGTCTTATGAGCCTTTAATTTAAGTAGACCCTAAACCCTAAACCCCATAGATCCCTTTAAGGATCCCTATAGATCCCTTTAAGGAGCCGCTAACGAACCTTACTAAGTCCCATAAGCCTTTAAGTACACCAGGTTCCGACTTCTCTTGGGATGTACGCACACACGGCATTTCGGAGACACGTCAAATGGAAACCATATTCCAAAGAAGACAAAACCTAAGCACGCAAAACCCTAAACCCTAAACCACTACGGCGGATAGTAAAGACTACGTACCCGCCAACCCCCAATGTAGGAACCTGATTAAGAAACCCTGGTCCTATAACCCCCAAAATATGTAGTAGGATTCATATAAGGAACCCTAATAGAGGCCCAGGCTTGCTAATCAGGTTCTTACATCAACCGCCCTTATAGTACCCTTATAGTACCCTTTAGAGGAACCTTTTATAGCACCCTAGAAAGGCCCAAGGTTTCTTGATCAGGTTCCTGCACTACCCCGACCCTGGCATGGCGGCCCGGTAGGAATCTGATGGTTTCGGGTTCCTAATTAATTACCTACACCCCCAAATAACTCACCTCTTTAAGGACTTATAGAAAAGAAATCAACAAAAGGAACCATAAAACAATAGGTTATTTGGGGTGTAAGTAATGTCTTGAACCACGCTGCCCAAAAAAGCCCGACACCCCTGGCAGGAGCCCTAAACCCGAAGCCTTAGACAACAGCCCCAAATCTGCAAAAATACAGGGGATTTGAAAACATAAAGACGGGTACAGGATACGATAATAACACCAAAGGATCATAACTGAAATCTGCCAGATACAGGAGCAAACACAAAAACGGGTAGTATAGGATACGATAATTACACCAAAGAGCCCCAAGGGACCATATCGGTAGTTTTCAAAATTACGGTCTCTGTTGGGGTCCCTATTATAGTACGGCAGTTAATATTTAAAGTACCCAGAACGGAACCATAATTTTGACAACCAACCAGATGGCCAACTTTTCAGGCTTCTATAGTACGGCCGAGATCTGAGAACCCTAAGCCCTCATGCCAGGCATCTATGTACATCGTGGGCTCTGCTGCCTGCCCTTCAGTAGGCCGCGAGACGTAAGCGGGGAGTTTCTCAGCATTTCGGTGCATAGGGGTTCCTAAACCCCAAACCGGGTGTCGGGGTTTTAGGGCTTTCGGGGCCTGCTCGGTTTTTCTATGCTTTTCTGCTCGGCGCGCTGTCCGCGTGCTCTGCTAAACTCTAGAACCACTAGGGACCCTGATATAGTTCCCCTAAATGGTAGGACCCTTGTCATAAAGATCCCTCAAAATAAGGTGCCCCTAATTTTCGGCAACTCCCGCACGAAAAGCACTGTACGAGGGGGTTGGGATTGCCCTGCCTGTTGAGAAACACCCTCGAACATGGCCGTTCCGTTCGCCATCGCTGACGATCTGCCATGTACTTGCTGCCACATAACTAACGATGCAGTTGGGCTCGGTTCTAGCAGAACTCACACAGGCTGCTGATATTCACTCATGCCGGCATGTAGTTGTATACCCATGTACCCGTGTGTATGCGCGTGAATGTGCAAATGCATGCTTGCATTTGTAGATATCTCCTACACATGTATGTCTGCAGAAGCATACATACGTACATGCATGCATACATACATGCATACATACATACACACGTCCGTATCTTTGCATGCCTGTATGCATGGATGTATGTATGTGTGTACGTGTGTGTATATATATATATATATGTGCGTCCATATATAAATATATATATATATATATATATATATAGATATATATGTATATGTGTGTGTATATATGTATGTATATATCATACACACGTGACGTGCTAGCTTGTGTGGACATAAGCATGCAACTAAGGTAGGCATATGCGCACTTGCTAGAAACACTACCCTTGGAAGCTTGCACCCCAAACCCGACACTCACAGCCCCAAACCCCAAAACCCAAAGACGACGATCCCGAAACCCAAAGCCGCACAGTCCAAACCCTCAAAACCCACAGCCACAAGCCCTGAAGCCCCAGATCCTTTGGCTCCTCCTTTCTTGAACCGAATCCTAATGTCAAGACCAAAAGCTGTCCTCAGAGTTTGCTTGGATCTGTATCTAGAACTGGCAGGGATGGTTTACGTGAAACTGCACTCGAGACCCGAATCTCATTGACTGTGTGGCCGCCCCTGATCATCAGCAGTCGGGGAGTTCAGCAAAGCAGGAGGCCCGAACAGAACTAGTAAGGGCTCTTAAAGGGCTCCTTGAAGGGACCTATAGGTTATAGGGATCCTTAAAGGGATCTATGGGGTTTAGGGTTTAGGGTCTACTTAAAGGCTCATGGGACATAGTAAGTACGGTTGTAAGTAGGTTGTAATAAGGATAACCCTACTTAGGGGACTTATAACCCCAAATATCGCCAATTTATTAAGTCCCATGGTCCTTTAAGTAGTATGGGTCCTACTGATTACCCTGGGGTCGAATATGTGGGACCTTGTAATTAGTAAGGATGCTACTGTTCAGAGTAGAAGTTAGGGTCTGCTGTGTATGGATCCTGCTACGTGGGATCCAATATAGTGGTCGGAACGATTCGTAGCAATTTCCCCCTACAGCCGGCACATTCGTTATCGTAGCTTGCAGTCTAACTAGCATAACAACCCTAAACCCTAAACCCTAAACCCCAATTTCCAATCGGGTCCTCCTTTTTCGAAACCTCGGGTCTCTGCTCCATTTCTACCTACTCTAGGTTCCTGAGTAGCCTCTTCTCAGGAACCTTGTAGACAATAAACCCCTGTAGATCCCTTCTATAGAAGCCCTTTAAGGGTCTCTGAAAGGGAGTACTAATCATAGGAGGCCAAAAAAGTTTTGGCCTATGGGGGTTTAGTAGGGATTAGGGTTCCCAGAACAGGGTTCATATTAAGGAATCCCTACCCCAAGAATCTTAAACCCCCCTTTTGGCCTCCCATCAACCACTCATGTACCTAGACCTAGGTTCCTGAGTAGCCTCTTTGTGATACCCTTTTGCAGACCCCTTAGAGAAAGGATCCCTTTAAAGAGCCCTTAACAACCCCTCTGCAAGGGAGTACTACTCAGGAACCTAAGAATAAAAAGGCCTCTCTTTTTGGTATTGGGTAACTTTATAAGGAACCTAGGACTACAAGAAGGGAATAAGGGTACTACCGGAGATCCTAGCCTACTTCACCAGGCGGCAGCCGCCAAACCCAAAGCCTCCTCCTCGGCGTTCGCCAGGGCGCTGGCCTGGCAAGGGCTTCCTTGTAAGGGTGCCTTACTAAAGGGACCTTAAGAATTAGAGTAGGGTTCCTTTAAAGGGGTGAAGAATGTATCCATTTCCATAATCCGCGTAAGGGTGCCTTACTACAGGGGCCTTAAGAGTTAGAGTATGGTTCCTTTAAAGGGTTAAAGAATGTATCCATAATGAATAATCCGGGTAAGGCACGAGGCCTTAAGAATTAGAGTAGGGTAAAAGGGGTCTACAATATATCGGGTTCCTTACTATAGGTGCCTTAACAATTAGAATAGGATTCCTTTAGAGGGATCTATAATGTATCCCCAATAGTAAGGGTAAGGGTTCCTTAAAGACCTTCTTGAAGGGTTGCTTCGAGGGATCTATAAGGAGACTGGGTGTCGCTGTCAACAGTCCCCAAAAGTATTAATTATCAGCGCTCTATATTAAACAAGAAGGGAAATTGAATTATTATCCCAAACTGGGTTGGCCTTTAAACACCCTGAAAAATATTTATGTATATAGGGTCCCTTATAAACCCAAATAAGGAAAATAAATGATGTCCCAAAATCCAACCTAGCAAATCGATGCCGAGTTGCGGAAGGACGCGGAACTTCCGGAGCAGCGCAGGGAATTCGAGGCTCAGAGACCTCTGCGCCCCTTGGAGGAGAGCCATGGTCCTGAGCTCTCAAGTCTAGGGGTTCAGGGTTTTAGGGGTTTAGGGGTAAGTAGGTTCCTTTAAAAGGCTCCTTTAAGGGATCTATATAGGGGGTTCTATAAGGGGTAGTTTAGGCTACTTGAAGGATCATGGGACTTAGTAAGTAGGTTATAATTGGGGTTATAAGTCCCCTAAGTGGGGTTATCCTAATTATAACGTACTTATAACCTTACTTACTAAGTCCCATGAGCCTTTAAGTAGGGGTTCAGGGGTTTAGGGGTTGAGGGGTTAGGGCTTAGGGGTTTAGGGTTTGGGGTAAGGAGGGCTCTTTTTAAGGATCCGAGCATTGTGAGGTTCTAGCACCTTCCTAGATTTCTGGGTTTTGGGGACCTGGGAGCCCAAGGCGAAAACAGCCTAAGATGTCGGTGTTGAGGGATCCTTAAAGGGATCCTTAAAGGGTTCTATAAGGGATCTATAGGGATCCTTAAAGGGATCCTTAAAGGGTTCTATAAGGGATCTATAGGGATCCTTAAAGGGATCCTTGAAGGGTTCTATAAGGGATCTATAGGGCTCCTTAAAGGGATCCTTAAAGGGTTCTATAAGGGATCTATAGGGCTCCTTAAAGGGATCCTTAAAGGGATCTATTCGGCATCTACAGGGTTTGATAAGGGTTCGGTTTGTAGGGGCTCCCAGCAGGAAGCGAGATTCAAAACATAGCAAGACATGTAGTACAAACCCTGTAAAGCCCCAGATTGTATTGCAAGTCCACGAATGCCTATGAAGTCGTCCTCATGCGCCCGAAAGATGTTGCAATCCAGGTTCCCTACCCTACATGGGAGTTTCCGAAAATACCAGAGGACCCTACTAGAGTACCCGAAGTAGTAAGTTCCTTGTTACAAGGGCCTCAAAATAAGGTACCCTAATTTTCGGAATCTCCCACATAGGGCTCTAAACTCGGGCGCACTCCTGGAAGCAAACTGGAGGACCTGTCCGTGGACCGTCGTTTAAAGCTGGGGAAGCCCGTGGGGTTTAGGGGTTTAGGGCTTAGGGGTTGAGGGGTTTAGGGGTTCAGGGGTTTATGGATTATGCCAGAAGAAGAAGAAGTATCCCTAACATTGACCATTTCCAGTGCTGGGGGACTTAGATAGTAGTTCGACAGAGAAGTAGGGCCATACTTCAGATAGCCCTTCAGGGCCCACTTTCAGGGCATTTGTCACTTCACCAAATACTGTTCCCCAAGTCTCACGACCTCCAAGCGCCCCCTAAACCGCCAACCCGAAGGCCTTCTAAACCTCAAAGACACTCGTCTAAAGATACGGGGCCTGAACTCCTGTAGTACCAATTATAGGATCCTTTAGGGGAACCTTAGGGAGTACTAGGGAGAGTTAGGGGGGGTATATAGCCTAGTGATCCCCCTGGAGCCCCCTCCCTTAAGGATACTATAAACCTAAACCCTAAACCCTATAGTACCAAGCTTCGATGGAGTCATCCCGAGAACCTGCATCTTCTCGAGTTTCTGCTTGGCCCTCCTGAGCTTCTCCTGCTTCGGGCTTTAGTGTGTTGAAGAAGATTTCAAGGTTATATGCCCTTTAGGGTTTAGGGTTTAGGGGGCATTAGTGTGTTGAAGAAGATTTCAAGGACCTAGTTGCTGAGTTCCTAAGCCCCCAAAAGTGCACACTTTCAGTTTTATAGTGGGTAGTATTGTTCCAAAAAGTGTAAAATGTATCCACTCAGCTACTAAGAGGCTATACTTTTTAGGGATCAGGGCTGAGATGGTTGAGAAGGCTTAGGGTTTTACGGCTTAGGGGTTAGGAAGGCTTAGGGTTTAGAGCGTAGAGGGACTGGGGCATGGCATGGCGCGTTAGTCTTTACCTTCCAATCTTTTTTTATGGCTTAGAGTCAGCTGTGACGGCAATACGTACCCTAAGCCTGTCGATGCTAGAGTTCAAAGACTAGCTAGCTAGCAGAAGCGAGACTGGAAGTAGAATTCGTAACCATCGTAGTCGTAACCGTCGCAGTCGTAGTCTTAGCCGTAGTGTTGTTGGTAGTGAAGTCGAAGCACCAGAATACGTGGTACTAGTCATAGTCGTAGGTCGTAACCGAAGTAGCAGCAGTCGTCGTCGTAGTCGTCGTAGTAGGAGTAGTATAGGGGATTAGGGGCGCTGGAGCAGCAGCAGCAGCGGCAGTGATGCAACATCATCGAGCATTGGATCGAGGCGACAAACGAACAGAAGCCGTCACAACCAGCAGCAGCACAAAGATCATTAGCCAGATCTTCGGAAGTTCGTGCCGCAATGACATGTCTTACTCGACCTTTCATGTCTTCTTCATCAAACGGTATCCCTAAGTCCTGGACCGCCAGGCTCCGAAACCCTCAAATCCCCTGCCCGGCTCGAAACCCAGAAGGCCCGTCTACCTCAATCCGGAGCCCTAAAACCCTGAACCTTATTATAAGCATTAAGCTCTACTTAGGGGCTGAGTACCCTAGCCTCAAAGAGGTTACATGACCTTTTGATTTATTGTAGGAGTACGTGAATCCCCAAAGGTTAAGGGCTACCTTCTCTCCTGCCAAGTCCGTAAACCCTGTAGTCCTAAACCGCAGCCCTCAAAACGTGCCCTGCGCCCGACATCCAGCGGTTTCTGTCGCAACCCTTAGCCAGCATACCTTCAGTCCACCGAAAATCCTATGAACATCCCAACTCCCCTTAGTATCCCCTAGAAACCCTATTAGAAACCCCATAACCCACCTTACTAACCCCACTTACTAAGTCAAAAGGGCCCCAACTCCCCTGTAGGGTTGAGTTTAGGGCTTAGGGCCGTACTGTGGAGCGATATCCTCGTGGTAAATGCAGGTCAATTTGCGTACCGCCTGAAGTACACCCTAAACCCTAAACCCCTAAACCCTAAACCCCTAAACCCTAAACCCCTAAACCCTAAACCCCTAAACCCCTAAACCTACATACCGCTCTGAGCCCTTAGACTTACCGTTGGTTAGTAGGGAATGGAGGAATGGGGTACAATTATAACCACTATTACTACCATTCTTCCATTCCCTACTAACCAACGGTACTTGAAGGATCATAGGACTTAGTAAGTAGGTTATAGTTGGGGTTATAAGTCCCCTAAGTGGGGTTATCCTAATTATAACCTACTTACAACCTTACTTACTAAGTCCCTTGAGCCTTTAAGTAGGAACCTGATTAAGAAGCCTTGGGCCTTTGCTAGGTTTCTATAAAGGGTGCCTCCAAAGGGTACTATAAGGGTGCTATAGGGGATTTGGGGGGTTTGATGTAGGAACCTGATTCAGAAACCTTGGGCCTTTATTAGGGTTCCTCCTAGGAATCCTACTATTTTGGGGTTAGGGTTTAGAGGCACAGGGTTTCTTATTCAGGTTCCTATATTAACCTTTTCAAGCATGCTAGGATTGTGTACTCCCCAAAAGGTTCAAGGTTATCTACTCAGCTGTCTAGGATACCCGGTAACCTAAGAATAAAAAGGCCTCTCTTTTTAGTATTGGGTAACTTTATAAGGAACCTAGGACTACAAAAAGGGAATAAGGGTACTACTGGACATCTACTCAGCTATTCAGCCAAATCTGGGACTGCAGGGCCTCCTTTTAGACAGTTCTGAAGGCACATCCCCTACAAATCTGCGCAATGCCCCCATCTACATCCTGCTGGAACCCTTAACCCGGTGACCCTAAACCCTAAAAACAAAAAAACCCTAAGAGCCTAAAGCCCTGAAGTCGTCAAACCCTGAAGCTTTAAATCTCCAGACTCCACACCCTAAAGCCCTAAACCCTAAATCCCAATCCCTAAAACCCTAATCTCTAAACCCCTAAACCCCTTAAACCCCTGAACCCTACACCGCTAAACCCTAAATCCTAAACCCCTTAAACCCCTAAACCCCTAAAATCCTAAACCCTAAAATCCTAATCCCTAAAACCCTACACTTCAAGGCAAAGACTCGGACTAAGACTTGGCACCTTCGAGATCTTCGTCCGGCTGCGCCCCGGCGAGCACCGGCCCATCCTCAGGGGAGCTTTTTTTTTTGTTTTTAAGGTTTAGGGTTTGGGGTTTAGGGGTTTAGGGGTTCTAGGGGTTTAGGGGTTCTAGGGGTTTAGGGGTTTAGGTTTTTTTTTTTAGGGCTTCGGGTTTAGGGTGTCGGTTTTAGGGTTTAGGGTTTGGGGTTTTTCTTTGGCTCGGGGTTCAAGGCTAACACGCAAAACAGGGGCCTTAATGATAACTTCAATCGGGTTGATTTACGGGTTCCTGTAAGGGGTAACTACATGGTCTTAGTACAGAGGCCTTAATGCTGAGAAGGGGGCCTGGGCGGTGTGCTATAGTTTGACCATCATGTGCAGTCCTTATGACCCGTATTGCTACTTCTTCCGACGCCTATATTGGAGGAAGGAATCGTGGGTGAAATCCCATCAGGGAGGCCTCCCCATCGGCAAGGTCAAGATTGTGTACTTGTGACTATGACCTAAATCAACCACGGCCACCAACCACACGTCAAAACTCCCAAAGCATTACTACGGGAGCTCAATAATTAGAAGAGGGTGGGGCCCATTATACCAAAATTGTTAGAAGGACCCCCCCATCCCCCTCAAAAACAAATCTAAAATGGTATTGGTAATTATTTGAGCCCCTATAGTAACCACCTTGTCGCCCAATAGGCCTGATTCTAAACTTTCTCGCTTCCGAAATCAATCCCCGAAGATATTGCCTGACTTCCAAAATCATCTTGAACTCCTGCTGAGCCACAAGGTTTCAGGCTTGGAGTATTAAACTCGAAAGCATGAATGGTTCCCAGAGACTCCAATATCCCTTAATTAAGCAATATACCTTAAATCACATGAGGGATCCTATACTCCTTAATTAAGGGTTATTGGAGTCTTTGGGTTCCTAATCCAGAACAGCCCTCCAATGCCTCGTGAAAGCGAAAGTGTCCGTGGCAAATGCAGCGCTCCTTAGCAAGTCTTGACGAACACTGAGCTCAAGCTCTAGCGTTACGGAATTAGGGTCTGGGGCCTGTTGGCAACAAAACAGCCTACTTAAAGGATCCTGGGACTTAGTAAGTAAGGTTATAAGTAGGTTATAAATTAGGGCAACCCCACTTAGGGGACTTATAACCCCAATTATAACCTACTTCCTAAGTCCCACGATCCTTTAAGTACATGAACTTTGCGAAACCATGCGGCTTCTCATGCCCCCCCTCACACAGGGAGGCCTGGTTCTAAGACTCCTCAAGAGTGGGTTCAGCCTCTGGGAATTCGCCTCGCATCATTGGTAGGGTTCTATAGTAAATGAGAAGGTTTCCCATTATGGTAACTTAAATTGAATCCCTTAGCAAGAACCCGGTTGCTCGACATGGCTGACTGTCCCACTTGGCATTGCTGTTTATTGGCTGACTATGGGCCGATAGCAACAAGTACACCATTGAGTAGAGCTTGGGCATGCCCCCACCCTGCAACAATCTATGTGAGGAGTGTTGTTAACGGCTATACATAGTTACCCTACATTATAGTAACTACACCATTGAGTATAGCAGCACTGCTTGTCCAGTGTCCTAAATAAAACAAAGGTTAACCCTTTGGGATCATAAAGGGATGGTCTTGACCCAAAACGGTAAAGGTTACGTACTCTACCACTGGGAGTAGCCTCATCCGTGAACCCAACAGCTACGCAGCCATGCATGTTAATGAGCTTTCTGCCTCGTGAAAAGCCGGACAACCATGGCAAGGTACATCGAGCGAAAAGACAGTACTTCAAGGCAAATCTTGCCGAGGTCGACCCCACAGCTTGACTTATCAGCTGCGCACCGAGCTTCTGATCCTTTAGGTGCTAAAAGGATCATGGGGCTGAGTACTAGGGTTGCAAGCAAGCTAGCAAAACTGCCAACCATTCTAACTTTGATAAATATTTTTAGTTGTTGAGTTCTAGATCCTCCAGGAAAGGCCCTCAAGCCTGACAAGCCAGGAAACACCCGAAGAAACAATTCACACGCCATCGAGCAGAATCCTAAACTCACACCAGGTTGATATGTGCCCCTTTGCTTGCCTGAAGCCCCGGCGCCCTAAACGCTGTGCAAAAGCCCCAAACTAAACTCCGAGCCGTGCCGCAGAGCCCCCAACATAAGTGTCATATTGTAAGGCCCACATAGATTTTGCATGAACATCTATCTTCGGACCCAACAACAAAATAAGATAATATAGGGATGTATGCATGTATGTATTTCAGTGCACGGATGCAGACACGCACCCACATAGTAGAAACGCCTTAATAACTGGGGGATAGGATAGTATATCTATAATAAGGAACCCCCAAAACAGTATAAGTAATTATTAAGGCCCCTACTTGGAGGCCCTTTTGACTTAGTAAGTCTACTTAGTATCCCCTACAAACCCTGTTAGCAACCCCATAACCCACCTTACTAACCCTACTTACTAAGTCAAACGGGCCTCCAAGTACAGTAGCAAGATTACTTAGAGGATCATGGGACTTAGTAAGTAGGTTATAATTGGGGTTATAAGTCCCCTAAGTGGGGTTACCCTAATTATAACCTACTTATAACCTTACTTACTAAGTCCCATGATCCTTTAAGTAAGGCAGGAGGCATCGAACATGAAGCCCTCCAACAGCTTGCCGGACTTCAGGCTTCCCTGGGAAGGTGCTTTTTGGCTTGACACAGGGGCCTAAACAGTATAGTACAGTAGAGTATAGTAGTAATTGATACATTATGATATAGTATAGTACAGTAGGGTATAGTAGAGTGGCAGAGTAGAGGATAGTAGCAGTACATTGTAGTAGAGTAGAGTAGAGTACAGTAGTAGTATAATATAATATGGTAAAGTGTAGTATAGTCTGGCATAGTCTAATGTAGAATAGGAAAGCGCAGCGGAGTATAGTGCAGTATAGGAGAGTATATACGGTAGTATAGCATAGTGTGGTCCGGAAAAGTAGGCCGGACCATTCATATTGGACTTAGGCTTGAGGGTTTAAGGGGCCTGAGTACTTATCCGGATTATTCCTCTTTACTACAATTATAGTATAGCGCATTGAAAAGTCTTGTTCCGTTTGGTACGGAACGGCTGTGTACCCTAGCCCAAAAAAGGTTAACCTTTTCAATTATGGTAGGATTATATAAACCCCAAAAGGTTAAAGGCTACCTACTCAGCTGCTAAGTACTTCTTCCAGGGTGTTGCATGACTTAGCCCGAGTGGCGGCATTTTCTGAAATCTCCTCCAGAATACTTGGGAGTTTCCCAAAATAGCGGACCCTAATAAAGTACCCTTCGCAGTAGGATACTTACTATAAGGACCCCAAAATAAGGTACCCTAACTTTCCGAATCTCCTACTCTTGAGTGAGCCTCCGTATGAGTTTTTTTTTGGGTAAGGGGTTCCAGCATCTGGGAGCTGCTTTAGTAAACAAAAATCAAAGTTCTTATGGCCCTGCATTTTGCTTGCTGTGTACGCCAAATTGCATCTGTGTACCGCTTCTTAGGGATGAAATGCATACAGATGGAGCCTTAAACCTTAAACCCTGCCCTAAAGGCTGAGGAAACCCTCAGTTCAGGAGGGGATTTTGGGTTCGGGTTTGGGTTTTGGGGTTTCGGTCCTCTGGCTAAGGCTAATACAAGGGCCTTGAAAATTAGAATAGGGCATTGGGGTATATAATCGGAAAAACAAAGTAACTGGGATATGTTCTACTGTACTAAACTCATACTGAGGAGCCCCGCTCCCACAATAGTATTGGTAACTATTGAGGCTCCTAAACTTGGCTGACTTCTGAACCCCTCCTAAAACTTTTAGCCTCGTTCTTATAGTTCATAGAGGAACCCCAAAAGTTAAAGTCCTAAGGTCCTAAGAGCCAACCAGAAGAACGCCAAGAGTATTGGTAATTATTCAGGCTCCTAAAATACTAAACCCAAGAGTAACCAAGGAATAAAAAGGGTGCCCTTGTTGGTTTAAAGGGGGTTATAAGAGAACCCAAACCCTAAAAAGGAGAATCAGGGCCTACTCTGTCTGGGTGCTCGAATACCTTTCAAGAGCGAGCCTTGAACAAGGGCGCACCATTTGGCCAAAAGAATTGGCCCTTTCCTGGCGCGCACGGGGCAGTTTCGGACAAATTCGAGTACCTAGTCGAGGACCTTGTCTATAGGAAGGAGGAAACCTGCTAAGTGTTTATGCGTTTAGGAACCATTTGGGCATGCGGATTGGTGGGTTTCGTTGCTAGGCCTCCACGCGTGGCCAGCTCCGACAAGGTCTAAGCGTCTCCACCCGCACAAAAGATGCTTGGTGAATGAACCCTGCTGGCGTTCCAAAGTCCAAAGGCTATACTACAAATGCTGCCAAATTGCTTCCGACGATCTCGAGATGCTACTCGGGCTGTCATAAATATAGGGCCTCGCTAGGATCTGACACAGGTGAAAAGGTTTTGACAGGCATGCAAAAACATACTTCCATTTCATCAGGACCCTTAGGAGCCCCCCAGTGTACTGGTTAAAGCTCTGTTATTGCCTATCCAGCAGCGATGAAGCTCAAGTAGCAAGGCAATGTGCCCCAAAATAGTATAGGCAATTACTTAGGCCCCAATAGAGAACCCTATTAAACCCTAAACCCTTCAAGGATCCCTTTAAAGGGAGCCCGGTCCTGTCATCGTTGTTTCCTTGAAGCCACCGATGTAAAAAGGCCTGAGAACAGCTCTGAGCTCATGCAAAATCCTACTAATCCCCTTAACCTGAGGGTTTAGGATTTAGAGGTTTAGGGTTTAAGATTTGGGGTTTGGGGGTCTACGGTTTAGGAGTTTAGGGTTTATGGTTTAGCCCTTAAGTCTTGCACAGTTCTTAAACCCGACGCCCCAAAAGCTTGCAAATCAAATCCGCACGTGGAGGCTCCTGGGACTTAGCAACTAGGTCTTATGAGAACAGAGGAACACGATCTTTTTTGTGTCTCTCGCAACACTGCTAGAGCTTGTGCTTTGTATACAGGAGGGTGGATCCTCAGCAGCTTCAAAGAAGCTATCCTGCGATGCTTGACTCTCGCGTAATGTACTCCTAGCAGTGTGCCGAGGAAGCAGGGAATTGAGAATAGCACTGCAGCCTCAAAGCCTACATACAAAGGCCCCCTGCTTCTGTAAAACGCCAAAACCCTTAGGGCCCACTTCACGATCGAGGCCATCGCGAAGAATAAAGATGCATGACGAGGGCTGAATGAAGTGCAATACGGAAGAACAGCGAATAATACCGATCGATCTTCTTCTCCGTCGTGGCCAGTTGGACCTTGTGCCCACAACGCAAGCCCTAAGACGGACATGAAGGAGTCGGAATTGAGACTCTGACCTTCCATTGCTTCACCGGGTCCCACCTATAGCATCGCATGACGAGGGAGGAATGAAGTGCCCGGACTTGACAGCAGAACCATTCGTCTGGAGTAGGTCCAGTGATTGAAACCATGACCATATGTCCAGCTGATGCTTGTGGGTCCCGAAATTCCAGGCCTCCTTTTTGTTTGGTTCTCCGACCAATGCCCCATCAGCCAGCCAGGCATGTTCGAACGGTGAACCCGCCCCCGCCCTCTGGTTGCCGTTGTCGTCAAGCTTTGCTTTTGCTTCAAAGAGTTGGCAGAAATAAAAATACTAGTCAAGGAACAACCTCATCGTCAAAAAAAGAGCTTCCATCATACGTAAAGGGGTCTTGATACTTGGCATAGGGTTTGGGGTTGTCTATGCTACATGCAGAATCAAGACTCCTGAGCAGCACTTTAGGTACTCATGTAAGCCTTTATATGGGAGTTTCCGAAAATAGGGGACCCTAATATAGTACCCTAAATAATCGGATCCTTATTATAAGGACCCCAAAATAAGGGTCCCCTATTTTCGGAAACTCCCATATCAATCACAAGAAGACCGATCTCCCTAAAGGCCCGGACACTAAACTGCTAATCCCAAAGCCATAAACCCGGATCCCTAAACCCTAACCCCTAGACCCTAAACCCCAATTTCTCAACCCTCATCCCAAAGCCTTAATCCCTAAACCCGAAGCCCTACAGTAGAAACCCAACAGTTGGAAACCCAATAGCCTTAATCCTGAAGAGTCATGTATAGGGAATCCCAGCACTAATTGTCCACATTCCGGCTTCCAACCTTTTTGGGGTTTACTGTACACCCTGAAGCCCTAAACCCCTGAAGCCGTTCAAAGCCCTAAAGGAACCCTTGTGGGAACCCTTACAGGAACCTTTACAACTTTAATCCCTAAACCCGAAGCCCTAAACCCAAAACCCCAACCTCCCAAAGCCCTAAACCTGCCATCTCCCTGAAGTTATAAGTATAGTTACCTTAGAAGCCCATTACAGGTGGGTAGTTCCTCTTCCATAGTACTCCCATAAGACCCTTTTACCTTATAGGAGTGGTATGGGAGGCTTATGGGAAACTACCCACCTAATAACTACCCACCTGTAAATGGCTTAGATACCTTATTTGCAGCTCCAGTTACTAAGTCGGTAGACCCTAAACCCAGGGCATCTCTTATAGAACTCCTTAGGATCCCTTTCACTTCAATCCCTAATCCCAAACCCGGAACCCATCTCTTATAGAACCCCTTGAGATCCCTTATACCTTAAGAAGCCCTTTTAGTGTTACTAAGTCCCATGATCCTTTTAAGTAGGCCCTGCACCCCTATACATCCCTTCTAGAACCCATTAAGGAGCCCTTCAAAGAACCTTTAAGTTACTAATCCCATGATCCTTTACGCAGGAGATCCCTCAAGTAAACCCTCCCATCTCCCTCAAGGCCTAGACCCTAATTTCTCAACCCTAAACCCTAAACCTCTTTAAGGAACCCTTATAGATCCCCTTAGGGAACCCCTAAAGGATCCCTTTAAACCCTGACCCTCCCATCTCCCTCGAGGTCCCCCGACGCTTGCGGAAGCACCTGCCAGTCCTGATCTGGGAAAACCTGCACCGTCTTTGTCTGGGTCCTTTTTACGGAGTTCTGTTTAAGTTACCAGAATAGGGTTCGATAGATCAGGGTTGTGTTTAAGGTCCTTCTTAAGGACTTTAAGGTTTTGGGTTTATGCTTCTTTTCATGTTACCATAGTAGGGATCTATAGTAGATAATGTGGTTGTCTGGGTCCTTATTAAGGAGCTCTATTCAAGTTACCATAATAGGGATCTATAGTTAATAATATGGAAAACCAGCAGCGGAGTTGACTAGCCTTTCGGGCTTAGGGTTTGGGGTTTGCGGTTTGGGTTTTAGGGGGTATAGGAACCTGAGTTTAAGGTTTAAGGTTTAGTGTTTAGGGGGGATTGTAGTATAGGAACCTGAATTTAAGGTTTAAGGTTTGGGGGGTGTAACGTCGGAAACTGTATTTACGGTTTAAGGTTCAGGGTTAGCTGGGTGTAATATAGGAACCTGATGAAGAAGCCCCAGCGCATTTATGGGGATTCTTGCATGAATCCTAATATATTCGGGTTACAGGGCCAGGGTCCCTTGTTCATGTTCCTACAGTAGGGTTTAGGCTTTTGCGTTGATGCGAGCCGGGCGGCGTAGGGTATAGGGTCTGGGGATGAGAGGGTTGAGGCGGGGGTCCCGTAAACGCATTAGCGAGATCGAATCGAAGTGCGTGTAGCTATCTTGATGAAAACATATTAGCCTGTTGGTGAAAAAGAACTTAACCAGCGTCTTAAGGCGTGGGCAAGTATCCACGATGCGAAGTAAGCTGGACACGAGTCTGGATTGCCTCAATTGAGCCGTAAACTCCCAAAGCCCTACTCTATACGCTCGAAACCCTATCGACCAAGCCCCTGCCTACAGGCCTTAAAATTAAACCCAAAGCCCTACAACCCCTAAACCCTGCAGCCTGGCAATTGCATGATCAACGGAGTTCAAGAGATACCCTACGAGCATGTGGACTCGCCTATCATCGTTTTTTCTCCGTGAACAAACATGGGAGGCCAAAGTGGTATCGGCGACAAGCAGATCGAAGCGGCTCAGTCGAGCTGACCACAGAACTTTCATCAGAATCCGAGCAGCAGACTCAGTCAGCTGACCACGAGTCTCATCATCCGCAGCTGGATGCGTACTCACATCTAAGTGTGGTGTCAGTTGCGGCTCGACCGTCAACAAAGCTACCGATTCATGCAGCTGCACGCATTGCCTGGCAAAGTCAGCAGACTCTAGAGCCAAAGCCTTCTTCTGCTGCTACTACAAAGCTATGACAGCGACCTAGAACTCTGGTCAGGGGTGCTTCTGAACAACGCGGACTCCTACCCCTGGAGCATAAACCCTAAACACTATAAAGGGTCTGAAGCATAAGTAGGGTCACACGCTACCTTTTCCGATCGATCTACCCTTCTTGCTATCCATCTACCCCTCTGCATATCTTACTTATCTATCTATCTTATCTGTCTGATGCTATCTATCTTTGAATGGATGTATCTGTCTACGTATCTACCTATCTGTCTATTTTACCAATCTTTTTTATCTGTGCACCCTATCTATCTATCTATCAGTCAACCAACCGATCAACCTATGTACATTTTCTATCTGTCTTACGCATCGACAGTATATGTCTATCTTATCTAACCACATTGTCTTTCTATCTACTCTACCTAAGCTTTATATTTGTCTGTCTATCTTTCCCCGTATAAGATGTTCGGAAACTTGCTCAAATGCCTGAAGCACCTACTGAGTAAAACAACGTGTGAACAGCAAGACTGGAGCTCTGCGGAGTTTGAGGTTGCAATCTTATTATAATCACAGTAAGGAACCCTAGCGCAGTATATGGAAAGGCGTTCTAAACCCTAAACCCAGAGACTCCAATATCCCTTAATGAAGGAAGATACCTTAAACCACAGTAGGATCCCGCATGTGACCTTAATTAAGGGATATTGGAGTCTTAAGCCGGAAACCCTGCAGGCCTGGGGCAAAACGTGTCGAAACTTGAGCAGGCCAATTAGGGTTTAGGGCCTAAACCCTAAATCCTTGCCTCGTTGAAGGCACCCGTGAACATGCCGTCGAAAAAGAGGCACTGGTCATGCCTAAGATAAGGGCCTTTATCATCTTAGTATAATTATACCCCATTCCTCCATCCCTACTAACGCCAGGTAAGTAAGATAAGGGCCTTTGTCAAAGGGATAGGGCGCTTCGGGCTATAGTATGGTCTATGTACGGCAGGACTGGCGCTCAATATAAGGGCTTTTATCCCTGCAAGATTGTTAATCGCCTTTTCGATCGTATTGTGTGCAGGGACCACGCTCAGAAGATGTTGCGGCTGAGGTACGGGCAAGCTATTGCGCTGCACTACGCTGCTACATTTTGGGGGTTACTCATTGCGATTTCTCTTGAAGAGCCTCTTGGGGGCACAGCTAAACCGGGAAAGCCAGAACAAGCTCTTGGCTAGTTGTTTCTTCTGGATTACGAGCTTAGATGGTTCGATGGTTCCACCAAGGATCTGAACCTCATAATTTTCAGTGGTATCCTTAGCTTTCTGGAATCTCGTGTCAGTATAAGCCCATACGAAATTCACTCTGCTTCTGTGGAGCTCAAGTCAAGTATAGGGGCCTTAATTATTAGAATAGGGTTTTGGGGCCCATTATACCACAACTACAATAAGGAACCTCCAATGGTATTGGTATTTGTGTAGGCCCCTACAGTACGTTGACAAATGTTACCGTGCAATCGGTGCCTTCATACCCCAATGCGTAAGCTGTACATGTCTTCGGTGTTATCCTTCCTTCTCTTGGCGGCTGACGCCACGTTTCGCAGCCGGATGGCTCCTTCCTGCTTCGTGGCTTGGGCTTAGGCTTAGGGTTTGGGCCTACGGCCTAAACCCTAAACCCTAAAACCCTAAACGCTAAACCCTAAACCCTGGGTTCAGGATACAAACTTCAACCCCAACCTCTTTCATATGAGTCGTTGTCAAAATTATGCTCCCTTTTTGTGTACCCCAAATATTAGGTGCCATATTATATATTAGGACCCAAAAAGGGACCATAATTTTGACAACCACCCATAGTAACTGGGGCTTTAATAGCATCAGTCCGGTCATTTAAGGGCTTCTTTCAGGGTTGCTTCGCGGAATCTGTAAGGGTTACGATTAGGGTGTGATACCTACTAACGTATCATCATTGTCAGTTTTAGGGCCCTTGTGGGTTTTGTACGGCTTTGTTGAACGGCTGCCGACTGCTTTGATGATCTTTGATGTTTTGTGTTTGCCTTCAATCATTAGGTGATGATAACGCCACGGATTTCGGGTTTAGGGAACCACTCCTGGCAAAGCCCTAAACCACAATTCCCAATAGTGAATCCCAGGAAATTGGAACATGGATTTAGGATGATTAGTGCTGGGTTCCCCTACACATTACCTTAAGCGCCTGAGGAGTAGTAAGGATGTTCCAACTTGGCTTCTAGTTTAAACCCAAGCCCCCCCAAACTCCGAAATCGTAAATCTTGGGCGCCAGAATCCAGTACAGGACCCGAGTATCCAAGGGGCTTAGGATGTGGGGCACATGGGTGTCCGTTTATGGGAGGATGGACACGACCCTCGTGCTTTAATGGGCTTAGGATTTAGGGTGAGCTTCACGACTTTCAGAGTCTGCAGTTGTCCGCTTGTATGGGATAACATCGCTACGAGCCAATGGTAAGTTCAAATCTTGAAGGGCTTCGGGGATAAAGCTTAGGCCACATCTTAGGGTTGTGGGGGGTGAAGGGTTTTGGGGCTTGGGGCTTTAGAGCTGACGGCTTCTGGTTTAGGGTTTTGGGTCATGGCCTGTACTTGGACGTTCTTTGCACTGAGTCCGTCTTCTTGGCTTCCCCAAGAACAAGATCATCACATCACAACCCATCTCCCACACTCCAGGTACTAGGTCAAAGAGCTGCCAACTCAGGAGTTTGCAAAGAGCATGCTCGGCTTGAAACTTAGATCCCAAAGCCACCCTCCTTAACCCTAAACCCTACTTGGAGGGGCAGGGGACTTTGTAAGTAGGTTATAAGTAGAGTTATGAGTACCCTAAATGGAGTTACCCCAATTATAACCCTACTCATAACCTACTTGCTAAGTCCCCTGCCCCTCCAAGTATGAGCCCGAAACCCTGAACCCTAAAACCAGCAATCTGTAAAGCCGCTCCTTGAAACTTCAGGGTATTGGTCCGAACTGCAAAGTTTTTTGGTTAAAGGCTTTGCAAAAAAACTAGAAGCTTAGATCGTTCAAAAAAGCTTGAGCCCACAATTTGCAGAGGTTGAACTCTAAAGTCTTGGTGCTTGCCTGGATCCAAGAATTAAGCCCTAAATCCTGAAACCACATGCAACATTTCTAAACCAATACAGCCTTGTTTACCGCAGATGCTTAGGTCAAAACCCTAAGCATCAGGCTCAAAATTCTGGTACATTGAGCCCTGAGCACTGCGCGCCTGCGTTCCGGGAGCAGTCGTCCAAAGCTCCCCAGGCACTTCGGGCGTACACCTATAGAGTGAATAACCCTTTTCGTTAGGGTTTCACATCAAAGCTGTATTGTAAGTATGCTATCTCATGCTTCCTGATTCTGAGGCCTTGGTTCGTATTCTTAGTAACCCTATTGGGAAGTGGGTTTATGCATCCCTGGTGTACGTTGCAATAGCAATGACTACAGAAACAGACAACAGCAGCGCTGGTACGAGTAGCTATAGCGATTGCAGCTCTCGGGCGGGCAAGTGCCAGGACAGTGCCGAGGTTGTCTTAATTGGAGGCTCAGTGGACGCGTGGCAGCTGCCAAACCCTAAACGTGAAACTCAACACCTCAACCTACCCTACCCCACCCCTCAAACCCTGAACCCTAAACCCTAAACCCACAGAGCCCCTTTCTCGTACCTAAAAGCAGCCCAAAACTGCCCCTAAACCAAAGCAACCAACATTTAGCGTGCCGGCTATGCTTCTGTGATGGCAGAGCTTCGGGTACAGCAGTTGCTACACATGGGGTTTAGGAGTTACTCAAGAGTTGGTTTACTACATTTTTAGCATCGCTGTTGCCGTGTGCCGAAGCATGTGTGCATGATCAAGGGCTTTGGGGTCCCTGCATAAGGTAGTTAACTAGTTGAACTGAGGATAGTGGAGATACATTGCAGTGAATAACATGATTTATATAATGTTGTAGAGTAAGCTCCTTAGTTTATGATAAGCACAATCTAAGTAATCCTGCAGAGCCGCAGCCGCAGTCGTATTCACACCAATCCACGAAAAGATCCTACACACGATGCAAACCCCATATTCTCTCCTTTCAGCCCGCTTCAGCATCTGCCTGTTCAGATGTGAGGCTGCTAGAAGAAGTCCACCGATTCACCATCGTTCGTAGAGTCAAAAGCATCGAAGAACTTCAGGAGGAAGCTTCGACCTTCTTTAAAAACATTGCCTCGTCCGGCAATTGCTCGAACGTCAACACGTATGTCTAAGCGCCCATTGGCAAAATGCTCCTGAAGGGACCGGAAGCAATACAAGCGACGATTGTTGACTGTGTGGTATTTGTTATGATAACGCAAAACTTGCAGTCTCGGGTAGCGGTGGCGTTGTTCAGGATTCTGCCGTAGCTTCCTCACCGCGTCGTTTAGCACGCAGTGGTTCCTGAATGTGCGTCTGATCCTGGCATGCGTGAAGAAGATCTCATCCGGATTCAGCCACCATTGCCCCGTCCATAAATGGTCTTGAAGCTGCTTCTGAGCCTCACGGCAACTGGCAGCCTGCAAGATGTCTTCGAACTGTCTGGAGCAGTGGCGACATTGCTGGATGGTCTCGCAGCAGCTTTTCCACGACTGGAAGGTTTCAGCCTCTGACTGTGCATCGTCGAATCGCTGCATGGACTCACTGATGCGCACGTGTAGCACACATTCCCTCAAACGGTCCGTTCGGAGATGGCTGTAAAGCCTGGCTGTCTGAGGCTGAAGCACCCTTTCCCAGAGAAACTTCCGCCAGAGCAACTCATCTTCATCTTTGACCAGCTCCCACCGTAGGCTTGCGCCATCGAAGCGAACCAAATGCTGGGCAATTTGCTGCAAAGTGTGGCTGGCATCTTTGTGAACTCCACCACCATGACCAAGAGCGGCTCGCTGCCTTAGAAATTCCACGACCAAGTCTTTGAAACCTGTCTTCTTGCCAGCATCAGTCATAGCCTTGAGCCGTCGCCCATCCAAGCAACGGCTTCCGAAGGCTTCGCATATATCTCGTTCCCTTGGCCGCAAGGGCACCATCTGCCCCGACTGTTGTGGCGGCTCATTAATTGAGATGAAGCCACCGTCGATGTTCTCGAAAATGAGTGTGTAGTGCTGAGTTCTTGCAAGGCTTATGAGCACACGGAAATCACCACAGCCATAGAGCACGAAATGAAAGGCTGGCCTCTGCCTCCATGGACACTGCGCTGTGGGATGGAGTTCGCCGTGGATGCTGCTGAGATGCGTAAGGTCACATGCATCTTTGAGCTTGCTGAAATTCTGCAAACCGCGATACCAATCAACATGCTGAGACAGGTCAACACTGGTTCTTTGGCTTTGAAGGAGGTCTTCCCAGGTTTGCAGCTTGAGTACGTGCAGCTCAGACTTGAAGGATGCATCCGACATAGTCTTGGGCTTCTTGGCCTTAGGCGTATCCTCGTCGTGTTCGCAGGGCCACGCGGCAAAAAGCTCATCATCTAGAGTACCATCGCCACGATCACCTGGACTTGAAAAAATAGTAACAGGCCGCCCACTCGAGCGCTCTCGTGCGTTTACTGCGTCGTGCCACGAAGTCCAGTCAAGCCCCTGTCTCGTCACTGGCTCTTTCCTTACACCATCAACTCGAACGATTCCTTGACAATGATCCCACTGCACGGGGGTGCCATCCAATGCGTGAAAAGTCTGCAGTGCATCCTGCCCCTGCAGCCATCCTGCTTTCTTGCGATGGGCCTTTCCTCTCAGATGTTCTGTGAGATTGTCTAAGGCATCCGGGTCATACCTGATACTCGGATTTCTGGCATCCCGAAGCAGCCTCTGGCAAGGCTCGCACTTCAGGCAACTGTAGCGTTGTCCCTCTGGCGCATGGCTTCGCAGCTCCTTGTACAACACATCGGTACCGACTGCCATCTGTCTTTGCCTCGAAGCCAAGAATTTCCAGAGATGTGCTTCATATTCCTGGTATCATGCACTACTCGCTGCCCTGAGTTAAAGTTACACAGCCTTCGAATACACTCCTAATTGGGGTTATGATACTTGTAACTCTTTAAAACAACTACTCACTAAGTCCTCCGACCCTCCATGTGGGGGTTCGGGACCTTAGCTCGGAGTCCGGGTCAGGTTTTGAATCTGCGGTTTCTTTCAACCTGTCTTCCACCACGCCAACTAGAGACGATGCACATGTATACGTTTAAGGTTATAGTTGTACTACATGTATACTCTCTCTCCCTCTCTCTCTGTATGTGTATGTAAACGTTAAGTACGTACTCCCTTTTAGCTGCCACTTACTTCTACTGCTGCTGCTACTACTGCTGCTGCTGCTACTACTACTACTACTACTACTACTACTACTACTACTACTACTACTGTTACTACTACCACTTGCCACTTCTTCGGCTACTCTTCCTCCTTCTCCCGCTCCAGCTACTCCTACTCCTGGTTTTTTTGCAGCTACTAAGCAGCTGCTACTTTCCTGCAGCAGTACCTCGCAGGTACAGCACGTCATACACCAGCCATTGGAACTGATCAGAAGTGCAATTTAGCTTTGTACTGCAGCACTCACCATATGGGAGTTTCCCAAAATGGGGACCCTACTCTAATACCCCATATAGTAGGATCCTTATTATGATGACCCCCAAATAAGGTACCCCTACTTTTCGGAAATTTCCATATGACATGGCCAGACTGAGCCCTACATCCGAAATCCCAAGCATCACGTCCCGCCTGACGGCGGGACGCCGGTCGATGGAGAACCACTGTGGCTCAACCACACGCAGGTTCGACAAGTGGTCCTCCAAAGCTTTATGGTTTCGCCTAAAGGGCCTAACGTCTACCTAGTCAGAGCTAGAGTGCCAAAACCCTAAACCATGTGTCTTGATGTAAGTTCCGTCACCTTCGAACTCCGTCTGGTACTGGGGGGCCTTTGCCAAATAGAATGGGTGTTTGGGGTGACTACACTGCAACGACATTCAGAAACCCGCAGACATGACATGTGCAGCTGTTCAGGGTTTAGGGTTTTGACTCGACTTTCGAATCATTTTGCCGACTTGTCGGGTATCATGGGGAACTAAAGGTTAACCCTTCTTGGTCATATAGGGGTTCTATAGGGAATATACTACCCGAAAAAGGTTAAAGGTTACCTACTCTACTACTAGGTATCTGGGAGTTTCCCAAAATAGGGGACCCTAATATGGTACCCTAAATAGTAGGATCCTTATTATAAGGGCCCCCAAATATTGTACCCCCTATTTTCGGAAACTCCCATCTGGTGCAGCCGGAAGCTGAGTTCAAGGCGGCGTTCTGCAACATGAAGGCTCCGCTGTTTGAGCCTCATGGAAGTTTCAGTAAACAGGGGGAGCCTATGGGATCCCGAAAATCCTAACCCTCAGCCTTAAACCCTAAACCTGAATCGCTAAACCCCTAAACCCTAAACCCCTACACCCTAAACCTGAATCCCTAAAGCCTGAAAGCCCCAACCCCCTAAACTCAAGGATTTGGGTCCGGTAAGGCATCAGACTCTGGCCTGACCTGAGGGGCCCGGGGTGTATTACACTTTGGGTGTATTACAATATACTATACTGAACTTAGAACCCAAGCAAAAATTACAATTTTAGCTGTTTCTTAATAATGATAATAACCAAAAATTAAAAAATATTTCTAAGTACCCCTAAGTATAATTCATTCGACAAGGACTATGGGGTGATCCGGTTAGTAATGATGGACTGGGTATCCCAGCCCAAAAAGGGTTAACCTTCGAACTTGTAGGGTCCCTTGCAGGGTCCCTCAAAGTGATCGAAAGGGATTTCTAGAAGGGTCGTACCAGGTTCTCACCGGGTTGTGGGGGCTGTTTGTCCACCTTGTAAGGCGGCTGGCTTTCGGGAAGAGCGTGCAGTGCAGCAGCGTGGACGCCACGGCTTGGGCGCATGGTCCGCTCGGATGTGCTTGTCCCGGTTTGCGGTCCTTCTGCCATTGCTTCACAATGTGCTGAAGATCCCGAAACAGACCATTCTCTGCCGGAAGCTTGTAAACCAAGGCCACTGATGCTGCAGTAGATCTGTTCCTCATGTATCAAGGAGGCTTTCGCCAGCTCGGCGTTGGAGCGAGGGGCGGCATAGCCTTTGGAACCAGCGGAAAGGCTTTGTCGGTCTTGAAGGGATCCCAGCATGACACGCACGTGGAGAACTGCCCAAATATAGGGGCCTTAATTATCAAAGTAGCGGTTTGGGGTACATTTTTCTACAACCATATTAAGGAACCCCCACAATAGTATAATTATACTATAACCATATTCAGGAACCGCCACAATAGTACAATTATACTAGAATCGCCCACAATAGTATAACTATACTATAACCACAGAAAGGAACCCCCAACATAGTATACAATTATACTAAAACCATATTAAGGAGCCCCCACAATACTCTAGGCCCCTATACCACATCAGGACAAGGCTTCGGTTAGGATGCTGCGGGCTTTCGGCGGCCGTGCTATCCTTGACTCTTCATTTTTGCCGAACTTCTTGCTGCTTGGGTTTAGGTTCGGGGTTCATGGTTTGAGGGTTTGGGTGAGGGTTTAGGGAAAGGCTTATGGTTTGAGGGTTAATTAGGGTTTAGGGAAAGGTTCATGTTTTCAGGGTTTAGGGCCAGGGTTTCGGTGTCCAAGCTTCGCAGGTGCAGGGCCCATATAGGGGACATACATAAAGGATCATGGGACTTAGTAACTGGGGTTAAAAATATGGTAACTATACTTGTAATTACTTGTAACCCGAATTATAAGGTACTTATAACCTTACTTACTAAGTCACATGATCCTCCATTACAGAACGCCCGACTATAGAACCCTAAAGTACCCTTAAAGGAACTACTAAGTCCCATGATCCTCCAAGTAGAACTACCTGTCTCCTCTCTTCCTTCCCAAAACCCCGGAAGCCAAAGCTCCAATTTAAGTTCGCAGGTGCCGCAGCAGGGATCTGTCGTAAATAACATGGTTTCCTTATCTTAGTTGCTGAATTCATAAGCCCCCAAAAGTGTACACTTTCAGTTTCATAGTGGGTAGTATTATCCCCCCAAAAGATAAAGTGTATCCACTCAGCTACTAAGTTGTGCTAACTTAGTATTTGGAGGGCGCCCAGTCGTATTCCTGAGTAAGTAACCAGGAACTTATTAGACAAGAACAAGCCCAAAGTGCCAATTGGAAAATATATTTGTTAAAGAACCACTGTAAAGAAGGTGACAAGAATATACAGAGCTATCGTACATACAGAAACTGCATAAAGAACCTACGTACTATTTGCTCAACGGCCAAGCCTTTGGCATTGGAGAACTCTGCTCAGACCCTAAGAGACATACGGTTAATGATATAAATCCTGCAGTACCATAATACGGGTTATACCGCAAGTCTAGCATGAAGGTAGTGCAAGATGTATATCATCAACCGTATTCAAACAACTTCTGCACGCTCTGGTATCGAAACACAATAAACATCAGGTGTTCTAGCGGATGTACGGTTTGGGATCCTTGGTGTTGGAGTATCTAGACCCACACAACCCCCACCAATGACCAACCCAACATCAGGGGATAACCAGAGCATGAGGATTAAAGCTTCGCTTGTGGCATTCTAAACCCTACCGAACCCAACCCAACGAAGCCTAGAAACTCACCCAAGCCCTCAACCCCAAACCCCTAAACACCCAAAAGAACAAGAGAAACCCCCCCACCCCACAACCTAAACGCCCGGCATCACAAAGAAAAGTTTCCGAAAATTAGGGGTGCCTTATTTTGGGGTCCTTATAATAAGGATCCTACTCTTTAGTGTAATACTATATCAAAGAAAAAAGCCGCGGAGCCATCGGGCACGGCCCACCACAGCTGACCAGGCCTGGGAGCGGCTAGTTGACACCCGAAACTCCCGAAGTCGTAGGGCTGAAGATAAGGGCCTTGATAATTCGAACGGCGTTTGGGGGGGGGGGGTAGAGTATACCATTATATCCACCTGTAAGGGATAATGGAGGATGGAACATACGAATTAGAATGGGGTTTGGAGGGTAGATTCTACTATAACTACAAGAAGGAACCCCCCAACATGGTCTTGGTAATTGTTTAGGCCCCTATACTAGATTGCAGGAGTTAAGGGCTTGGGTCCTAGGGTGTTCGGATTGAAGGGCTTCGGGTTCTGCTTTAGGGCTTAGTTGCTGAGTTCCTAAGCCCCCCAAAAGGTGTACACTTTCAGGTTTATAGTGGGTAGTATTATCCCAACAAGTGTAAAGTGTATCCGCTCGGAGGTTTTCGGCTTTGGGGCTCAGATTGAAGGCCGTCTGGGTGTAGGGTTTTCGGGTCACAAACTCATAGAAACCCTTGGGTGGTGGGGGAGGGGGGGGGGGTAGGGGGCCTTAATGCCTATAAGCCCTAGTTAAGGAAGCATAGTCCCCCACGCCCCTTCCCCCTAAGGCTCCGTATGAGAAACTGCAGGGTTTTGGTTTGGCGATAAGATTCAAGCGCCAAGAGAGGGGCCTCAGCAGTCTTTGGGGGATCATGCGATTCAATAAGTCGGGTTATTCGTCCCTGAGTTGGGGTTATAAGTTATAAGCAATAGTCAGTGTAGTCACCCAAACATTATCCCCAGTTACTAAGTGCCCAGACCCCCCCCCCTCCGCGGACACTACGGAATTAGAACTTATACCACGAAATAAAGGATCCTGGACAGATTTTCGAAGGCGTTCCTGCATAAATAAACATCACGAGCACCAATCCTGCTTCACACGAATCTCACTGTAGCTTGGGTTTGGCAAGGAATGTGGGAATGGATCATGGGGGCTGTTATCGGGGAGCTCATAAGGACCAGCAAAGGGATCATTCTCTCATTCCATACTTAGCCCAGCCAACAGAGGACCTGAACAAGTAGAGTATGTCTGAGGAACTGAATATCCTAGCCCAAACAAGGTTAGCATGTTGAGTTTATAGTAGGGTTATATAATCCCCAAGAAAGTAAGCTTACGCAATCCGCCCCTAAGACATACCGAGGGAACACAAGCACTAGAAGGGGATGTTATCACCAATGGCCGACTAAGACATACCGTAGGAATACAAACACTACAAGGGGATGTTATCACTAATGGCCGACGGCTACATCAAATCTGTCTCCGCCTCTCCCGACCCCATTCCTTGTTAGCGCTCCGTCATCAATCAAGCGTACCCCCTTGATCTCTATTCGGGAGAATCCGAAAATAGGGGACTCTAATATAGTCTCCTAAACAGTCGGATCCTGATTATCAGGACCCCAGAATGAAGTACCCCTTTGACCTCTATTCCGGCTTTATGGTTGCCCTAATTTGGGTTTTATGAGACCCTAGGTTGAAGCTGCCCCTTTATGAGGACAGCCTTTCTCCTACCAAGCGGCTTTGTTGAGGAGACACGAACACGAGAGGGGCAAAGGGGTATTACTGGAAGACCTAGGACCTACGTAGGACCTTTTAAGGAAACAGCACTGAGCTTCTCTCGCGGCCTTTTGCCACACTGCCAACGGCTCCGAGTCTTCTGCCAAAAGGATCATGGGACTTAGTAACTAAAGTTGTAAACACTTTTAAGGGGGTTTCCGAAAACCTTATTTTGGGGTCCTTGTAATAAGGATCCTACTATATAGGGTACTATATTAGGGCCCCCTTCCCAAAAAAACTCCAAGTGAGGTATTTATGGCCATATTTACTAAGTCCCATGATCCTCCAAGTAGACCCTAAACCCTATAGATCCCTTATAGAACCCCCTAAGGAGCCCTTTTCTGCGACTAAGTCCATGATCCTCCAAGTAACAGGCAAGTCTCGGGCTTCGGAACCACGAAAACCGCGAAACCTCACGCCACGAACGCCTCTAAGAGGCTTTTTCGAAATCTCATAGCACGCTGGGGTTCAGGGGTTTAGGGTTAAGAAAGGATTCCTGAAGGGTTCTAAAGGGCTTAAAGATGTTATGAGTAGGTTGCAGGCAGATACGATAGAGGCCTCAATGATTTCATTGGGTTTTGGGCTCCTTCACAGCATGATTATAATAAGGAGCCCTGCAGTGTAATACTGGAGGTAGTTAGGCTTCTGTAATGCTTGTATGTCCGCTTGCGTTCCTCTTGAAGTGACGCCCTCAAAGCAATGAACACTACTACTACTACTACTACTACTACTACTACTACTACTACTACTACTACTACTACTACTACTACTACTACTACTACTACTACTACTACTACTACCACGACTACACCCCTCTGAAGAACAGCAGCTTCCGCACCTCTGGGAAGTTCTTGTTGGATGCGATCCTTGGCTCCCCGGTGGGTTGAAGATTTAGGATTTACATACGATTTGGGGTTTAGGGTTCAGGGGTTAAGGTTTCGGGTTTAAGGTTTAGGATTCAGGATTTGGGGTTTAGGGTCTAGGGGTTCAGGGTTTCGGGTTTAAGGTTTAGGGATCTAGGAACGAAGTTGTGGCCATGAAATACTTGCAACCTTAACCCTTAGACTCTCAAGTCCCAAGCCCTGCCTTGACTTGACAATCCTAAACCCAGAGACCCAATATCCCTTCATTACTAGGAAAATCCCTAATATAGCCGGTTCCCATAATAAAAGTGCCAATATGTGTGTATATATATATATGTATATATATATATATACATACACAGTAGAAGCCGAAAAGTTGGAAACCCAAAAGCCTCAATCCTTAAGAGTCATGTATAAGGAATTCCAGCACTATTTGGCCTGAATCCGGTTCCCAACTCTATGTGCTTTACTGTACTACTTAGTTAAGGCATCTGCTTGAAATTACAAGGAGCTCTACATTATGATGTTCGATACACTCCTTGATCAAGGGGGTATTGGGCTCTCTGGGAACCCCAAGCCGCAGACCCTTCTACCGACCCAGAACTTCAAACCCTGAACTCCGCAAGCCCCTTTCATCACGGCGGTGCAGTATTACAGACTATCTGGGGTTCTAAGTACCTCCACGCATAGTTGCCCTAATGATACTATTTTAATTAAACCCCATGATCCTTTACATAAACGGTGCCCCAGTATGGAATTACACGAGGCACGCACGGCAATTTCCTCGTACTAAGTCTTGTGAAAGAGGCCCCAACACAGAAATGGGTAGAAGGACACCGCTGAGAAACCGAGTAAGGCTAAGGGTTGCGATTATCTGGAAACCATTTCAAACCCCAAACCCTAAACCATCTCCAACAGCAAGTGCGACAAAAGAGTGCTCTTGAATCCCAAGCCCAACAAGCCAAAACTGAAAACCACATCAACCCCAAACCTTCAACCGTATCCACAACTGCCCTATCAGCCCTCGACGCCTCAGTTAACACAACACTTAACCTTTTCGCGAAGAATCCGAAGCTCCTTCGAACATCATGTGCCCTATGAGCCCTTTATCCCTACAGCCAAGAGGCTTACACTTCCCTAGAGCCTTTACCCTAAGCCATGTAGTATAGGGGCCGATTATTCTTGAATAGTATCTTGGGGGTGGGTTCCTTATTGTGAGTATATCATAATGGGCCCCCAAACCCTGTTCTAATGGTCACGGCCCCTATAAACTTGGCTGACTTCTGAACCCCTCCTAGAGGTTGAACTGTTCGCCTCCTTATTATAGTTCATACACAACCCAAAAGTTAAAGTCCAAAGAGCCAACCAGAAGAAGGCCAAGTATAGTTAGGGCCCCAAAAAAGCACATAAGCAAACATTAGGATAGGGATATCCCAATATATACCCCCTTATACTGAAGCCCAATAAGGTCGGGATACCCCCATATAATTCTTATGCTTCTGTGCTTTTTGGGTCCCTAAATGCTGTTGATGATCTAAATCATGCACATTACCTTAGGGACCCTAAACTATGGAATTATGGTATATTCCTTATTATGGGTAATGCAGGATTTATATCACCAACCCCAAACCCTAAAACCCTATAGATCCCTTAAAGGCACCCCTTAAAGGTACCCTTATAGATCCTTTAAAGGGATCTAGGGTCCCTAAATAGTACCTGCAAAGGATCCAGTATGGGCTGAAACCCGAGCGGTCAGTTCGCTCCTTATCCGCTCGGGCCCCAAGGAGAAACTGCACCACCTGGGCGGTGTTTTTTGGGCGAAAAAGGCATACGATCAAGGTTCTGGCATGGGGGTGGTGTGAGGTATACTATGAGGGTTCTGGAGTGGTTTGGGGGGTTGCTGAAGGGTAACGGGGCTTGAACACGTTCCATACGAAGTCTTTGCGAGTTAGGGAGTAGATGGGGCGGCTTGAAAGGGTGTGAGGCTACATTACATTATTGACGTCAGGGGCTTTTGATGCTACTGGGCCTAGGATCTCGATGGCAGCATGTTTTCCGGTGCTTCCGGGATGAGAGCCTTGGGTTTCAGGTGCCAGAAAATTCGGACTACGGCTTTTTGACAGAGGCATTCGTCACAAGAGTGCTGTATCTGTCTTCTTCAATAACAGGGCTCAAGAAGTTCAAGCTTTGCAGATAGACCAAATATATATTATATATATATGTATATATATATGTATATACATATATATATATATATACATATTTCTCGCCAAGAAGCTTTAAGCTCTCTTCTTGGCTATCTAAGGCATTCCAGAACCGAGCAACGTCGTAGTGTCCCTCAGCAGCTGCAAGCCAGAGGGGCGCGCGCCCATCGTTCGGATGGGACGCTTCCTGTGTTTTATAGGGACCCTTAGGGGGTAGGGTGGGGTGTAGGGGACCATGCTTCCTTAAATAAGCCTTGTTAAGTCCGTATAAAAGATATTAAGGCCCCCTGCCCCCCTCTCCCTACCCCCCTAAGGGTCCTTATAAGGTGTCTGCCGGGGCCATGATGGAAATCATCTTTCTCGTTACCCTAAACACGA